AAAAATCACTCTACTATCGGAAAACTGAACACTGGTTTTTACGAAAATTAGAATACGTTTTATAACAAAAGCACAATCGATGTTTCGGGAAAGTACCCATCTTGGTGTGATTCAGCGATTTCCGACATCTCGAATTATCCGTCCGTCAATGGGCTATTTTGCTCAGCTGGTCGCGATTCTTCAAGAGTAGTTTTATAGGAAGCTATGCTGTAAACTAGAAGTCACCTAGTCAGTGGTGAGACTGAGATTTAAGCTCGTAGCGTCGTTTAAAGGTTGCTTCAGCGGAAGTCATAAAGTTCTGTGCACGGCCTTGAGTTGTTCACAAACTGAATAGCTAATAGGTTGATTTTAAAGGAAGAAAAGGTTCTTTTGACATAATGTTAGGTGTTGTCGAATTTGACCCGGGTAGGTTATACAGGTTAGGATCGGAATTGAATGTATTTTTCTCACATTCGAAGGACAGTGAGTGACGAAAAATAGTTTAGATATTATGTAACATACTCGTACGTCTTAACCTGTCGGATGAGATAAAATTTAGTAGCTTCGCACTGTTCACTCTTCCTGTTAACGGACTGGATCTAAATTTGATAGGTATACACAGCCGCGGGGTGGAAAACTAATCTGTAACGGCTGGTGGTCATTAAGTTCGTGTGCTCATTGATACTTCGTTGTCGTGTCTAGTGATTGATTAAAAATTGGTGGGAGAGGGAGGAGAAGGAGCTAGTGGGGACATGGAACAACAGAAGAGGTAAAACAGAATTAGAGTGAGGTACACTTGAAATAGAGGGAGCTAGAGGTGAATAAATAGGAGGTACGGGTTGGAACAGGATAACTAGACGGAAGGTCTAGAACTAATGGGGAGGTACAGGAGAACTAGAGGGGAGGTAAAGGAGAATTAGAGGGTGGTACAAAATTAAAGGGGAGGTGCAGGAGAACTAGTGATGGTACAGGAGAACTAGAGGGAGTTACAGGAGAACAAGAAGGGAGATTCATGAGAACTAGAGGAGAGGTATAGAAGAACTAGAGGGGAGGTATAGGAGAATTAGAGGGTGGTACATGAGAACAAGAGGGGAGGTACAGGAGAACTAGAGGGGAGATTCATGAGAACTAGAGGGGAGGTACAGGAGAACTAGAGGGGAGGTACAGGAGAACTAGAGGGGAGATACATGAGAACTAGAGGAGAGGTATAGAAGAACTAAAGTGGAGGTATAGGAGAACTGGGGATGTACAGGAGAACTAGAGGGGAGGTACAGGATAACTAGGGAAGTTCAGAAGATCTAGTGGAGGTACAGGAGAACTAGAGGGGAGGTACAGGAGTACTAGATAGTAGGTACAGTAGAACTAGAGGGAGGTACAAGAGAGCTAGAGGGGAGGTACAAAAGAACTAGAGGGGAGGTACAGGAGTACTAGATAGTAGGTACAGTAGAACTAGAGGGAGGTACAAGAGAGCTAGAGGGGAGGTACAAAAGAACTAGAGGGGAGGTACAGGAGTACTAGATAGTAGGTACAGTAGAACTAGAGGGAGGTACAAGAGAGCTAGAGGGGAGGTACAAAAGAACTAGAGGGGAGGTACAAACGAACTAGAGGGGAGGTACAAAAGAACTAGAGGGGAGGTACAGGAGAACTAGAGGGGAGGTACAGGAGAACTAGAGGGGAGGTACAGGAGAACTAGAGGGGAGGTACAGGAGAACTAGAGGGGAGGTACAGGAGAACTAGAGGGGAGGTACAGGAGAACTAGAGAAAGATACTGGAGGGGGGTAATTGACGGGGGGGATGCCTTGTTCCCAATGTTCCCCAGGTGAAGTAGAGGGAGATACACGTAAACTAGAGGGGAGGTATTGGAGAACTAGAAATTTAGAGAAAAGATGTATATGACGCAAGCACTAATCGACCACTTCTAATTTAATGTCATTCCCGTTACGTTTTTGGTTGATATCATAAACATTTTCCACTATGTATAAATCTTGATAAGGTACATTTGTCCTAGTTTGTATGAATTGTAGTATTCTCTATTGTAAGTGATCTTGTCATCAAAAGAAATAATGTATGTAAAATAACCGTCAAGGCATTGTGAAACCCAATGGGCAGCCATCGTAGAAGTAAATTAAAAGTAATATCTTTTTTCATGGTAATTTTGTATCTGTTTTAAACAAGATTTAATTATTAAATAGCAATTTATCAATAACGATGATATTCGGTAAAATGAGTAGGAATATATGAAAACCTACTAATTTTAACATAGCTAAATTTGTTATATCGAATTAACATTTAAAAGACCTTTAGTTAGACTGAAAAATGTTACACAAACATTTGATATTTGATATGACATAAATTGTCAAAACGATCAAATATTTATGAACAGTATTCTATAAAACTAAACTCAGGTTAAGTTAATGGATTAAATATATTGATGGCTTTGAATTTTTGTCACATAACTGTGATCGTAAGTCTTTGTCTTGAATACCCATTGCGTAATTTTACAATTAATGACGAATTTAAAAGTATAAACTATACGTTATACGCCATTTGACTATTGATGTAAATTTATAGCAGACCAAAATGACAATTGATAGTATCGAAAGCGTTAGATGTTGGTTTTAATGAGTTAAAGAGCGGTTGAGTTATACAGCGTGTTTATGTGATACAGTGTGTTAGTGTGATACAACATGTTTATGTGATACAGTGTGTTTATATGATAAAGTGTGTCTTGTGAAACAACGTGTTTATGTGATAAAGTGTGTTTATGTGATAAAGTGTGTTTGTGTTATACAGTTTGTTTGTGTGATACAACATGTTTATGAGATAAAGTGTGTTTATATGATACAGTGTGTTTGTATGATAAAGTGTGTTTGTGTGATACAGTGTGTTTGTGTTATACAACGTGTTTATGTGATAAAGTGTGTTTGTGTTATACAACGTGTTTATGTGATTAAGTGTGTTTGTGTGATAAAGTGTGTTTATATGTGTAACACCCTTTTTGTGTGACTGGGTTCACGATATAAACTTGCCACAGGCCTTCTCCTACCTTTATCTGTCACATACGAAATCACAAGACAAGCCTTCTTTACGTTCTATATACATTTATTTTGTCTTCACATAGACAGCGTGTTCAGCCAAGCTACGCCATGTTCTTGCCTTCTTCTCTCTTCCTCTCGCGCATGCGCACAGCCACTGTCTCCCTGATGCAATCTCACACACACACTCCCAAGATACGATCCACCAATGTTTCACTGTTATACGCCCTTTCTCCCGTTAAAAAAATTAATTTATTAATTTTTTTGTTATATAGATCACATTCACTATAAAATCTTCACGATAACATAACAGTGAAATGAAAATCATGTGGAAAAAGAACTTGTCAATGAACATCCCAAGTTATTTTATATGTACACTTAATTAAAACAATGATATTCATAAAATACATGGCAAAGTGTAAAGCGTCACTTATCTTATAAGTATCCCCATTAAGAAAAATTGTAACTTAGGTAAACCTTCTTAGTTTAGTAAGAACAAATGACTCTAACTAAGGAACATCTCCCCTTGGTGTAACAAAAAAAATCATTAAACCTCACTAAGGAATATTGCCTCTTAGTGTATCTCAAATAAATCTAACTGAGGAAAACTTTATTTTAGTAGAACAAAATTATAGCTATGCAATAGCTCCCATGGGCAAATCATATCCTTGATTTCCCTACTTCAATGGTTGAGGTCAACTCCTCATCATAATATATGTAAATTACCACATCTTATTACATATAATTACCACATCTGTCAGGTCATACTGCCATAATCATGTTCATTACTTAACAAGATATACAGTATACATAAAAATCATAAAAATACAACAAAATGTATGTTCATTTTCATTACTAAATTAAAATAGTGGTAGAACATATGTATACAAGTCATTTTATGACTTGTTCCTATCTTGCTCACATTTTTAAAATGTTAATGTTCTCTGGAAGTGCACATCACATACTACATTATTCAAAATTTCCTTATAAGAATTGGCTGATATGTCTCAGGTCATTATTTTCTTTAGTCAGTTCCGTGTAAGTTTTTTTTTTTTTTTTTTTTTTTTTTTTTTTTTTTTTTTTTTTTTTTTTTTTACTTTATATACATATTTATTTTGTCTTCACATAGACAGCGTGTTCAGCCAAGCTACGCCATGTTCTTGCCTTCTTCTCTCTTCCTCTCGCGCATGCGCGCAGCCACTGTCTTTCTCTGATGCAATCTCACACACACACTCCCAAGATACGATCCACCAATGTTTCACTGTTATAATATGATAAAGTGTGTTTGTGTAAGACAATGTGTTTGTATGATACATTGGGTTTTTTGGAGACGTCACAAGAACTTCCACATGTTCTTTATCTTACTGCTCATGAAAAGATAATTGATGGCGCTGAGGTTTATGGAATTAGATTAGCTCACATTGCGGATCTTTTGATTTAATTATCGTTCAGACAAACTTGTTTTTATAGGATTTTATTATAATTTACGTTTTTTTCCCCGAATGTGCTAATGTAATACATATCAATTTGAAGACGTGTTTTACACTAAATAGGATTTTAACATTTGATTTTTATACATGTTTTGAAAATCTTGAAAAAATACTTTTAATACACTGAGATATTCCTTAACATGTATCTTGAGTATAACATGGAGTTGGATTTGAAAGTTTGTGTGGGGAGAAATCGTCAGATATTTTGTTTCCAAACAACGAATCAAAGATACACGACACCTAAATCACAGTTTAAAATAATACCAGACGATCTGCATGATAAATATCTGCTAAAGTGTTTTTTCATCATTTCCCGGTATTAAGTGGCTATCTATTAATGTATTGTTTATTTTGTTTTCTTTGGTTTTTTTTTAAACAGAACAAGTCTTTACTCTGCACAGTTCAATCACAAAATTTAGATATCAGCTAGCAATGAGCTAAGCAACATTACATATAGAAACTCAACAGTAAACGAAAGACTTTTTTTCCACAGACAATGAGTTCACAAGCTACAGTTGATGCACAAGCCACAATGAATGTTACACTAAAAGACAACGAGTCAACCTACCAGATAGACAGCTACTACAGCAATGACGAGAGCTACAACACCATCATGACCATCGTCCTCATCCTTAACAAATATTACCTCTGGATTATCCTAGCCATAGGATTACCTGGTAACATATCCACGATATTTACAATCTCACGCATGCGTAGTTTGGGCTCGTTTTCTCTGTACGTTGTTTTACTCGCAATCGCAGACAGCGCTGCTCTGGTCCTTAAAGTCACCATCTACCAGCTTTTAAACGACCAGGTTTACTTGACAACAGAAGGATGCAGAATCTTACTTTTTCTGGCAACATTCTTCGCTTCTTACGCCAACTGGATCCTCGTCCTGATGGCAGTGGAGCGTCTTGTAGCTGTAAAGTTTCCGCTGAAAATACAAAGGTACCTTGGATACAAGAAGTCTATCATGTGGAACGTCATTGTGGGAGTGTCTCTTGCAGTCATGTACACACCGATTCTCTTGATGTACGACTTTGAAATCACCAACATCGGATGCTACATTCATAAAGAACCAATCTACCTCATCGTTTACCTGAAATGGGTAAACATCTGTTTACTAGCCTTCATCCCGTTCATCCTCATAGCACTGTTCAACGTGCTTATCCTGGGCATCATCCGGCAGTCATTCAAAGAGCGGAACTTGCTGACCAACACTTCCAGCAGTACGGACATGTCCACTCTCAGACAGACCATGCTCATGTTGTTCACCTCAACTCTGGTCTTCGTCATCCTCATGTTTCCAGCCTGCGCCTTGACAGTCGCAGAGTCTTACTGGCAGGAGGAGATCCACACCAGGGGATTTGTTCTCAAGTACTTGTTCAGTCAGATCTCGTACATTCTCGTGGACTCCACGCATGCGCTGAATTTTTACCTGTACTTTTTGAGTGCGCGGAAGTTCAGGAAACAGTTCAACGAACTCTGGACATGTAAGCAAACCAGTGTCCAGCGAGCCAATTTGTAAGTAGTGCTTTCACTAGAAGGCTGTGCACTAACGCATTCTAGCTTACATAACCATTTTAAAATCACTTCATTTTGCTTTGAGCACATCATTGTTAAACTTCAGTATTAAACGTTTTCACAAAAAGGGTAGCCTAGCTATATTTAATTCTTATCAGAATTTATTTTTTCAATTTTTACCGAAAGTCAAAGAAATGTTTGTACAGCATTTTTAAAGCATTATTTACTAAGATGTGGGTGTCCTTGTGTTAATGGACACAGAGTCAGTCTGTTTGTTGACGGAGTCAGTCTGTGCACGAAGTCAGTCTGCCTGTTTACAGAGTCTGTGTACGGAGTCAGTCTATGTTCACATGTTGTGTTAAGTATTGCACTAAGTGTTTAACCCAAGGAATCCCTCTAACGCTGTCCTTATACTCCACAGAGCACTCAAGTTCCAGTATGGTTTCCAGCGGCTGTCCCTTCGAACATCTACCAGCAACAGACAAACGGCAATATAAAGAATTGAACACTTCTTGGAATTCTGCATGAGAAAACAAACATCAGTGATGAATAAATACATTTGGGTGATGCATATGTTTATTATGCAAATAAATGACATTTCATTAATGCTGAATATGGCAATGACATTCCTGTGGGTATCTACACAATAACGTTTGAATTATCAAATTATAAATTGGACAAGTTTCCGATTATTCGACGATTCGAAGTTGAATAACATATTTGGCATAACATTGTTCCATAAACATATAGTAATTTGTATGTTTACCAGTGAATAGAAAGCATTTTTGCAATAAATTCCTCACCGAAATAATGCTTTGTACAAATTTAACTCGAAATTGATTTTCCTTGTCAAGCTAAATATATAAATGTTTGCGTTTTAATACTAATTGACTGTATTTCGCAATTTAAAACATTTACAGCTATGGTATTTTCTTCGTATTTTAATACTTTATTTTACAACGATAGCCCATCTAATTGCTCAATCCTTTATTTTTCGGTATCTCTATAATTTGGCGTGGTCAAATGTTAGATTGCACAACTGCTAACCCAAAAGTCTCGAGTTCCAATAGGTTTCTGACTCACGGGGTAAATTACTGTAGCATTTCGTCTTTAGAACTTAATCAACACTACCGGTGACGATAAGATTGAAAATAAAATAGAGAATAAAGATTCTCTGCGGAAAACTTTTATTTATTTTTTAAACAAGACTGCTTAAAATTTAAACTTTTAGAAATGTATATTACAAAAATAAAATTTTAATGTATAAATTTACTTTTTCCACTGAAGTGACTTCGATTTTAAGCTGTTTTAAAAATCGAAGTCACTACAATTGAAAAAGTAACATTTATTCGGGGTACATTGTTTTATTAAGTCCAACTAAGCTTCTAAGACAGTTATGACTTATTATTTTTTTCTTTCAAGAAACATTATATGAGACAAATGTAAGGCAGTATAAAAAAAATCCTAGTTCCTTTTAATTAAAGATGTTAGAAAGTTTTTTTAATTATACAGGTAAAACATTTGAGACACTTTGTTTCTTTATTTTTATTGGATACTAACGATTTTAGTTGACATTAAAATATAACTGTCTTGTTTCATGACACAAGCTGATTAGGAATTCTAAAATAACTCTAATGGGCAATGAATTATTTTTGTCTTACTGAACCCTCTTTACCTGGTCCATTTGTTTTGTCCTGTTGCTACGGACATGAATCCAGACGTCAGGGGACTTTCACTGATAAAATATCGATTTTAGTCTAATCGATACCATTTTACCGTTTTGTAAAACGCTGAATCAACTAAATTTAAAATTTGAGTATTTACAGAGCCGACCGACCCTAGTTACTGTCCCAGAGGCGTAGCGACCCTTCCCGGCGCCCGGGGACAAACTTTCGATTTGCACCCCCCCCCTCGAACTTTTCAATTGCACCCCCCCAAACTTTCGATTTTTTTTAAATTTTTTTTTTACCCCCTCAAACTTTCAATTTGGCGCCCCCCTAAGGTCGGCGCCCGGGGACATATGTCCGCCCCCCCCCCCTCGCTACGCCTCTGTACTGTCCAGAAATTCGTTAATCTAACAAATCGATGATGTTGTTTTCAACTTGTTTTTAGATGTAATAAAACTTTATCGTGGCAGCTTCTATGTTTACATAATGGGTTTTTTGTTATCCCTTTGTAATGTTTTTGTTAAACTTAGAGTATAGAAGGCAGCAACAAAATACAACAAGTCCTAGTCTAATGGCTTAGGTTGTAAATGTGTCTTAAAACCCTGCCCATTAAGCAATCTGTTAATTAAATGTCGATCGTTTTTATTTTACTTCCGGTTTGTACAAAACATGACAAGAATGTTTTTTTCATCGTCTAATTGTTTTCACCGATAAAAAACATGGCCGATTTGAGAGCTGCACTAAACCCCACTGCAAGCACAAGGAAAAAAATAGTTTCTTTGTTTTTAAAATGGACGAAGAACTGAATGACGTGTACTATGTATAACTAACCTTGATTATGGTGTCTATTTTCTTGTATATCAAGTCATTGACTATCTATTGTTAACCTTGTTTATTGTGTCTGTCTTCTTGCATATTAACTGAAGACGTTTTTCTAAGTTTATCTGTAAGAATTGAATAAGAAAATATTTGTTTACTGTTATACTAAGCTAACTGGTGTTTGGTAACAATTTAGACTGTTGCCTCGTAACCCACGTTTTGGTCAATTTCTTAAAAACTGTAATCTGGATTGTCAGGGAGAACAATAGAGCTGGTAAGTAGGTCACCAACAAGTTCTATGGCTCATGCAGGTTTTATTGAGCCGTAGAACTGGTTGGTGACCTACTTACCAGCCCTATTGTTCAATCAAGGTCTCTACATTTTGGTGTATTTTCTAGTAATGAAGCATAGACTTGTAAAAGAGAGTTTCAACGTTTTTTTTAGGTACATGTAATTTTTACTTTTTGTTAGAATATGAAACAACAATTTTTTAGATTTATGTTTTCAAAAAATGTAGTTTGAACAAGTCAGATGAGCGTCTACTCGAAACAAATATAATGCAATTTTTTTTTTAATTTTCAGTGCAATAATGCAAATTGTCTACATTGTCTACACATAGCGAATTTAAGGTACCTCACAAATCAAGTCATCAAATTCATATCAATCGAGCCTGTTTATTTGTATTTATCGTTTTCGAACAGCACGAATAGTTGTCGCCCCTGACAGACTATTTTTAGCTGTAAATCCACTTAGACTTCCTACGATAATTAATGACTTGTGTAATTAGATTTCGGTTGACTTAGACAAGAAAAACTAGTCTTTTTAAATCCACTCAGATCTGATGTGTACCTGACTCACTTTAAGGAAAGTAAAGGTGGCTGAGAATAATGTCGACAACATCCCTTTATATTCCCAGATCTAAAATACATTTGAAATGTTATTTATCAACCATAACAGCAGCTAAATTTAATACACACTGTTATAATTCAATTGATAGCTTAATTACATTTTGAAATCTCGTTAAATCAATTTTAAACAATGTATTTTATTATTTTAAATTACAATGAATTTATTACAATGAATTTATATTGAAACTGACAAATGTTTACTTGTTAAGGATGTCAATGTTTAGTCAACCTTAGATATGTATCAATACATCGTATCATTTCTTTAAGGTTTCTCAAAACTTACTAAAATAATTCATATCTGTTTAATTTACTTTAACTGTAGACCTACTACATTAAGCAATGGAGTTACATTTTCAATGAAATAACTGTATACAGTAGCTTGTACTATAAGCTTTTCTAAACACCCCATATTATTTTTGTCTAGATGTTAGATTTGTTTCACCAAATTCGAGACGTTTGCTTAGTTAGACAATTACAGTGTATTTGTTATGTCTAAAAACCTGTCATTGTTAGCTTTTTGCCGGTGGAAAAAATATGTAAATATATATATGCCTAAAATATAGGGTGTAAAAAAATTGCGTGTGTTAGCATTTACAGTATACTATTCAAAACATTTTTAGAGTGCCTAGATTTAAAACTTACATACTTGGGAGACATATAGCCTATTTACAAACATTTCTTTATTACATTTTGCGTTTAATTGAGAGACATACATAACAATTTCTAAATTGTGATATTTTCTCTACATCCTGCTATATTTTTTTTTGGTGACAAACGTATTCCAAGGATGTTTTAACGTCGAACAAATTAAATTATCCCGCTAATTATCTAATGGACATATCAAAACTACATGTCTTTGTAAAAATTATGTAGTTATCTGTGCATCAGAAAAGCAGAAAATAAAATGACAAGATGGAAAGAATAGAAAGTTCCTGCGAATTATATTTGGCATTTGTAAATTAAACATAATTACATGTTGGTTTTATTATTGTTGCTTTATGTTATGTAGACTAAAAGCTGTCTGCCGCTCAATGTTAACGTCAAGCACCTTAATTACATTATTGTTATTATACTTGATTGATCTATATATTTTAAAAACTAAATGCAATAAATTTTCAACACTTTTAACGTCTTGATTTTGATTTAGGTTTTTAAAAAAAGTAATACAATAAACCAACGATCTTCGAATGACGAACCCAGAACAATTACGTTTTAAACATTGTAGCATTTCTAAAATTAACAAACACTGTAACTATTCTAAAACTAAAAGTTTCTTTGTAGTTTACGTTTTATTAGTAGACCTAAATTTAGGAAAAAAAACTTAAGCTGAAAATAAAATGAATGGGTCAAACATTAATGAAGTTACAATTTAATATAAAAAATATAATCTTAAGTGGGACAACTATTCTTAAAATACATTTAGAATTTTGTGTAGGCCTACATTCTCCGCTCCATCGATCGATACCTAATTTCTCATTTCTGCAACTCAGAATGTAGTAGCAGACTTCAATGAGATTTCATTGCTATGGCTAGCTGAAACAGGTCTAATCTTCAACATTGAAATCAAGGATAGAAGGTGAGGATTTAAAAACCTTCAACAAATTTCTCCGCTGAGTGACGTCACTTCCGCAGCTGTCTGGAGATGGTGGAGAGAAACTTTCTATCCCGTCCACTCGTCGTTTTCCTTTGTGATAATGTAGCAGATCATTTAGAGAGGGCTTTGTTGTTTTATTAGTTTCCCAACTCGATAATCAATGACAGTTTAATTTTCTTAAAGGCTATGCGTAAGATTAGATGATCCTTGAAGCTAAAAAGCAAAGATGTATATCAAAGATTTAAGGACTAACATAGTTTAATAAAGTAACTCAATAATTTGTTGTGGTTTTATATAAGTTTTCATTTTTAACTAATTAATTTTGGTTTGACCTAGGTTCTAGAGTTTAGATCTAGGATTGACTTTCTCTGCGTCGGATAGCTGATCTCTAGATCTAGAGAAATTACTTGTATATTCAAATTAGAAGAGCCATTGAGAATTGATAATAGTATTGGAACCTAACAAAAATAGCAAACGGACGCATCGTTAAAGCTATAGCCGACAGAAAAATTTGCTTTAAAATTCGTTAAACTTTTGAATGTTTTGAATGGGCACCAAAATCTTCGATGGAAGCCGCCATTATTGTTATGAAAAGTTAATAAATCATGTGACGTCACTATAAGTAAAGTCATTGTTCTGAAATTTTATAATTAATATGGCTAATATATCAATGAATATATCAATACATTAATTAACGTCTTAAAATTAATTTGTGTTAACAGTTTTGGTAAAACAGAACATTGTTCTCTACCTAAATACTAATTTACAGCTCTACACATAGTGCAGATTCTCTACTGTAACCAAACAGAAAAACAAATATATATATATATATATATATATATATATATATATATATATATATATTTATATATATACATATATATATATATTTATTTATATATTTATATATATACATACATATATATATATATATATATATATATATATATATATATTGAAACTAGTAAATAAACTAGAGTTTTAGTAGTATATAGATAGATAGATATATAGATATATTTTAAAATGTTTGTCTGAACAAAAACAAACAGGTTCCTAATAATAGGCTATATGTAGCTAATCAAGTGTTTGTTTTTATGCTGATAGGAGGAATTTTACATCCTATTTTAGAAACGTCCAACATTGTTTAGTTATGTCAACCCGATACAGTGTGTTGACTTAATGATAATAGAAATATTGAGAAATTGCATTACATTCTGTTGTATAAAATGGTACATCTGAATTATATACTGTAGCTTCAGTCCATTTTGTTGTACGACGTCTGAAACTTTATAGACATTCTATAATGTATCTTTAATCTATTTTGTTACACGATGTTATACTTGTATTATATTATGGTTATAAAACACTTATTTTATCTATGAAGCTTTATATTATTCATGCGTATACATTATAGTAATAAAATACTCATCTGATATATATTAAGAAATTTGATACACGTGTATTGCATTAGGATTAAAACACACAAGATTGCCGGTTCTAAACAGGATTCTATCATGGCGTAGGATATAATTGGTAGTTTAGCACAACATACAATTACAACACAACAATAAACGCTTTACCTTTAACTATTTCACAACAATGTTTTAGTGTTGTGGGCCAATGAATATCGATTAGGCATTGATTAGAGGGCTGATCACGAAACAAAGCAGAGTGCCGTAACCTACATTCTGTTGTGTAGCATGGGTCTACCCCCCTTGTCGATGACGTCTAAAGACATTCGCCAGGGCCCGACTGGTTCTATGTAGATCAACCGCTCTAGTGATTGTTGTCTTTGGATACAGGTAACCAGCCGTATATAGATGTCTTCTGGTAAGAACTGCACATTTTTTCTATTAAACTTATTATGTATATCTTTGTACAAATAAAACAAAATAAAAAACATTTTTAGACATCGTTCAAGAAATTAAATCCCTATCAAAACAAGTTTTAATACCATCGTCATGTTCGGAATAACAGGCCTAAGTTAAGGTAAAAACATCGAACATAAATGAAACTACAAAGGTTATATTATTCTTACATGAAGTTTTATGTTAAATGAAAGCACTGTTTAGAGAGAAAGGTACTGCAGGTTTTTAAGTTAAGCTGGCTTTGCCCCCCGACCTGATCAATATTGATAGAAATATTGTCAAAATACAGAATCCATATAAGCATTCATATTAATGTGTAGGCGTCACAAAAGGTACATCTGATTTATGTTTCTCCCACTATGTACATGTTTGTATTTTTAACTTTATTTTAAACAAATCTCGAAAGACGCCATATTAATCTATCCTTGTAAAGAATTTTAAAACGATGTTTCTATTTTAGTCACTACCTCTGGAATCACCGTTATAGAGATTAAAAACCCACCCACCGCCACAAAATCGTCACAAGTCTTTCAATTGCCCCCACTTTTAAAATAAACGTATCTCTAGCCAACAATGCTCTCTTCGTACCTTTGATCGAAAATTTTAGTAGTCTTTTAATAGTGCTTATATAATGATATATATATATATATATAGATATATATATATATATATATATATATATATATATATATATATATATATATATATATATATATATATATATATATATATATATATATATATATATATATATATATATATATATTTATATTTATATTTATATTTATATATATATATATATATATATATATCAATACAGAATCTGCAGGTTAAATGTTGCCTGCGGTCGCTATAGAAACCAATCTCCCTTCGGGGCGTCTCTCAAGCTTGAAAAATGACGCCACCAAGTTCCACGAGCGACAGACTGAGTACCTACGTCTGCAGATCGTGGACATGGTCGGGCAGCACACTTCCAGCATTCCCGGCATCAACATCGACGGCAACCGGCGGCAGCCCAGGTACAAGTCTAGGCTGGCCGGGTACCTGAACGAGGATAACAAGAGCATGCTGGGACCGGGTCAGCGCGGGACGTCCAAGATCAATCTCGACCTCGTCGACCGCCAGCCGGCAGAGACGACCGGCACGAGCAGCAAGGTCAAGGCCACCGCCTGGTTGATCAGACGATTTCGCAGACGCCGCGACGCTGCGGATGACGGTGCCAGCACCATCGCTGATATCAAACAAGAGAAGCTGCCGAAAGTTCTTTATAAAGCTGAGGACAGCACATTTGTGAACTCTGAAAGCAAACAGGCTAAAGATGGTCAACGTCCGCTTACTTCGAATAAACAAGATGAGAAGGAGACCAAAAAGAACTTCAAGAATGACTACAAATACGATTTGAAAAATATGTATTCTAATGGACGGAAGTTTGTTTTAGAAAAACTAAACAAGTTAAAAGCAAGCGGGGACATTATACCTCTATCGTATACCAATTCAGAAGAAGTTACCAACGCCCGTCCTGAGAAGAACGGAAGTGATGCCAAACTGACGCAAGAAGAGAAAGCACTCAATGCAAAAAACACCAAAAAGCTCGGTGTTTTCTCCGCATCTTTAGAAGCTTTCAAACAGAGACTCAAATCACGTTCTTACACGCTACAACACCCGGAGAATGACGAGAAAGAACGAGATTTGAGTACACCAACGAAAAAATCAGAAGTCTCCGGGAATAAGTTTTATCCACGCCCACCTTCACAGCCGCAAGCTTCACAAAATGTCCAACATTTGTCTGGGACAAAAACACCACAAGTTACGCACAACGGTCGAGTATTGCCTCAGCCAAAAACACCATCTTTTAACGGAGAAGAATCATTTTCTAACCCAAACAATCACGTGATCCATAAAAACAACTCCTTTTCCAACGCCAACAAAGTAGGTCCTATGAGTAAGATAGAGGAAGAAAAGTATGAGAAGCGGAATAACTACAGAATGTTTAGTAACGGCGAAGGCGTCTCTAATAATAAGTTAGCCAATTCTACTTCATTACAAAACGATCACCAAGAAGTACATACTAAACAGGCGGTTCTAGCTCCGTTGACAGTGCACAACCTGAGACTCCATGAGTCATTGCAGTACGTCTACGAGAGGAGACAGAAGCGTATGGAGGTGTACTTGAAGCGTCAGCAGGAAAACAGAAACGGCGTCAGGAGTCATTCGGGTAGCTCTGGAGCCGGGGACAGGATGTGGAAATGGCTCGCTCAAGTTGAGGTAGAGTCGGATGGTCAGGTAGTGGAACATGGAGGCAACACCACAACGGAAACTGTGCTAGACTCGACAGGTCATGGGCAGGTCCTGGTAGACGCCCTGTGTGCGTGACCTAGTAATTGATGTCTGGCTACACAAGTCGAAGTGCAGCTTACAATTACGTTAGCAGCTGTTGGCTTATGTAGCCTACGGGAAATGTATCTACAAGGCCTTAAAATGTTGAACCTAAGTATATTCATATTGTATTGTAAATATTCACAATTTTATTCATGTAAGAGAAATGTTTGGTGCTGACAAGAATATGATTATCTATCGAAATTCGCACAGTGTGTATTATTATAAATAGTGTACATTTCTTAATCTGTTATGATATTATGTTAACTGTACCAATTTAATTTATGTTTCTAATATTTGTAACATTACCACACTTTTCGTACTTTAAATTGTGTATATAGCGTTTGTATTTTACTTTTCGTTGCACAAATGTTCAAGTTTGTGTATACCGCGTCACTGTAACGACAAAAACACGTGAGTTATTGTTTGTATTTTTTATCGCGGTGTCAAGATATCAGTTATATCGACGTGTAGACCCGACACCTTATTGTTACGATCATTCCTTGCAAGCCAACAACCCTAGCTGTGATTTAACCTTCAAGTTTAGCCAAGCGGATCGTCCCGTTACGGTTGATTTGGCGGCTGGCAAACCTTCAAGTGGTGCTGATCCAACAACAGATACGGACGCAAGATCGGTTTGTGCTTACAAATGCTATTGTCCTTTCGACTCCGTGTTTAGTTGATTAGTGTGTAATAGATTTGGATCATTGAAACGTGTGCAACAGTTGAATCAGTAAAATATTCTGAGGATCTACACATCTTAAGACACCTTAATTATAAACGCGTGAATTTTCTTTACACTTTGGTTTTTCGTTGCTTAAAGTAAGTTTGTATCGCACTTGCAATCAAATCAGTACTGGACAGCTTGAACTTTTGATTTCGAAACCTTAAGTTGTTTTTTATTTTTGATTTTTTTACTACTGAGAATGCGTTATCCAAATAAATTAGTACATTTCCTTTACATTTTGATTGTTTCGTTGTTCAAAGGAAGTTTATTTTATACACTTCTTATCAATTAAGAACAAAAAGAATTATTTTTTTTCGAATACTTAATTTTTTCTTTTTGAAAAGTATTGGAAAATAAGATATTTAGCCTGTATTCCAAATGTGGGGTAACTTTTCTTTACATTTTGTTTAAAGAAAGTTTTTTTTTTTACACATGCTATCAAATAATTACTAAACAACATAAACATTTCGTTTTTCGAAAAAACAAGGTAATTAAAAAGTCTAGTGACAATTTTAGCGCAATTTCCTTATGTTATCTAAAAATAGCTCTGTCGTAGCGTAAATCAAGAGCAGGGTTAGTAAAACCATTGGTTAGTTATTAAAACGTTTTTTATTAATTTTTTTTTCAGTATTTTACATGTTTTATTTACAATAGAGTAACATGACTAAAAACCATTGCGCGCCTAGCTACCGAACGTGATGTCGCAGCCATTGAACGTGATGGCGCAGCTATTGAACGTGATGACGCGTGTGGTGTGGTTGGATAAAAATGCCTACTAATTCGGTCCAAATTTTAATTAATTCAAAAAACATTTTGTGACCAAACGAAAGGATATTTTTGAAAACTTTCTTCGGCAATATTGTTCTAAATTATGGCAGGAGTCGATTGGTACATGTTTCAAGTCGCTAAGTGGTCTGGTTACCGAGATATGGGCCAAAAACTGCATTCTTTTTTAGGTTTTTTGGCTTTACCGGGAAATCCATGAAAAAAAAAACCTGAATTTTTTAGGCCTATGTTCATTCTCGTAACTTGCTTAACATAATTGCTTTTGGAACTAGTACTCGATATTGCTTCGTTGAGGAGGAGATACGACTTAAAGCTGCGGACACACATCCATTCATACATTGATGCATCCAGAAATGACGAGTTAATAAAAGCAATTCTCCAGAATGGAAATTGCGCTAAAAATTTTAATATTGCATTGAGAATAAGACAGCTTGTAAATTTGTAATGGTAAAGTGTAATAAATTTTCTTTACATTTCGATTTTTTTCGTTGCTTAAAGAACGTTTTTTATTTTACTTGCTATAAAATAAGTACTAAAGAACTTAAATATTTTGTTTTCGGAAAATTAAGTTTTTTATTGTTTTCATAATATTCAAATATTTATCAAAGCTGTACTTATTTTTCTTGATATTATGTATGTTCGTTGCTAAAAAGATAAATTATTTTTTACACTTATTATAAATAAGTACTAACAAAACTTGAACATTTTGTTTTCGAACATTTAAGTTTTTGAACAGTTTTATTAAGACTATTTTCTTTCTTTTAACTTAACTTTTTATAAAGATTATTTTATAAATTATATTTCGGATGCTAATACTTCATTTTTTTTTCAAGATGTTACTTTTCGCGTTACCTACTTCATCTTTCGGTTTCAGTAACATATTTAATCAGCTTGAACACTTATGCAGAAAATGTTAGCAATTATTAATTATAACGTAAGCTTGGAAGGCGTAGCATCTTCGTTATGACCAAACAGAACTAACAATCTTATGTCTTTCACAAATACACTTCAACTGAAAATGTGGATAAATTTCGCCGACTTAGCCTGATAGTAATCTAATTCTACTTTTTTGTTAATGTAATTTTTGCTACCTTTTCTATTATATAACAAAACTAAATGCTATTTTAAATGTGGATTAAGTTTTCGTTTTGATTTTATCACTGCTTATAGAAAGTTCATCTAATGTGAAATATACAGCTGATATTGTCAATGAAATAGTGTCTGTATTTTCTATTTAAAAAAATTCACTTTCGTTAACAAGTCAATACGGCTTGTTAAAATTATACATTCAAATATTCAATGAATAATACGTATATGTAAATTAAGTATGTGTTATGAATTCTTCCTAACTTTTGTTTCGAATTCTACGAAGATATTTGAGGTTTAGATTTAATTCACCAAGCATTCTTCGCTTCTTTTTTTTTAAGTTTTCAACCAAGTAAAAAAGATATCAAGGATGCTACATTACACAGAGAGAAAAAAAAACGGGATAAATGAGACATACATCTGTATAAGGATTCTGTTTTTCACTTTTTCAGAAACCAACAATGTCCTTTTCCCCCGACGTAAGTTTAATTAAATTATAAATCATGAAATAAATAGCAGAAATAAAATCGAATTAATGCAATTTGGTGTCTGTATTAATAAAATAGCTGACATAAAAATAAAACAATGTACGTATTTGTTAGAGTATTAGTACGCCATGTACTTTGTTGTCATTCTAATGAGTTTTAATTTGGAAAAACTGTGTATGTACACTAATTCTTTTTACTCGCCCATGTATTTGACTTGGCCTGCGAGTCATTTTAGGATGTTTATTTATCGTTTACTGAATATTCAAATACTATATCGGTATAAATTTTTCGCATGCTTTTTATATTAATACTCTTTAAAATTATTTGATAACTGTATTTACCATTTTTCCTTTTATTGAATACATCATTCAAACATTGTTTTGCTTATTTCATACTTGATGGATTTAACGATTCTAGCAGTGTGCTGTGTTTATACATTTATATTAGCCTGTTTTGAAAAAAATAAAACTATTAATCACATCATTTATGCTGTACGTTGGTATTTATATGGTAGTAAATATTTTACATGTCATTAAAGAAACGTAAAATGTGCTCAGCTAATATTCCGTGTTAGTGTTTAAAGCAGAATATACTTTAAAATTTAGATAGAGACTGAAAAATATAATAAAATTTGTAACTGCCATCATCACCATCAAAATTAACCACCACCACCACCATCATCATTATCATCATCATCATTGTGATCATCATCATCACCATCACCACCACCACCATCATCATCATTATCATTATCATCATCATCATCTTCATCATCATCATCATCATCATTATCATCATCATCATCATCATCGCCATCACCACCACCACCATCATCATCATCATCATTATCATCATCATCATCATCATCATCATCGCATCACCATCACCTATATCACCATCAGCATCATCATCGCCATCACCATCACCATCATCATCACTCACTGACTTTCGGCGCACGAGGATAGAACAAGTGAGAAAAGTATCATGGAACTTTTAGGTTGTGACGGGTACTCATTTTTATTATTTTCCCCCCGGCTCTACAGTCATCATTATTTCGATGTTGACCATAATATCAGGTAAGTAAATAATGGCCTATTGACGTAAGTCAGAGTTTTTAAGGATTTAAACGATATTTTCCGTATATTTTTCCATGTTTGTTTATAAGAGATGTTTCTTAATTCTATATAAGAAAACGGGACTTGTTTTACTAAAGATATTTAACTAGCGCTTACTGAACTCGCATGAGAATGTAAGATATTCTATTATGGATGTTCATTAACATTTTTTTAGCAACCATCAACTTTACCGACCTGACCACGCCGACCCCTAATAACTGATGACACTTTTTTTGGATACCTGTTTTGTGGACACGTTATTCGCCCAAAAAGTATGTGTTTCGTAACATACAAATACAGATTTACATCTTACTAAGAACTAATCAGAAACTAGACCGTAAATGTATTGATGACGTAGATAGATGGAGTAAGTATACCTGGGGTGGATGTAAAAAAACTGAACAATCTTACCGTAAATCGATGGCTAAAATAATGTCGTATTAACTTGACATTTTTAATCAGAGGACGAGATGTCTTATAACCGCGTGTATCTATGACGAGAGCGTGATTAACGAAATGGCGAATTTGATCAATTTTTATATTGCGAGGCAATAGAACTGGTCAGAGTTTCTTAAACGCATCTCTTCGGGAACCCCCCCCCCCCATCTGCGAAGAACGTCTACCGCCCCCAAACGAAATGGAATTTATATTGAAAATATATACCTTTTTCAGTGTCTCCCCACCCCCACCTGAAATCTCCTTTCAAGTGCCCCCCCTCCCCACCGGAAGAAACACTGGAAGTACATCGTTTTTATTTCAGGCGATGATTGGAACAAGCTTACAGGAAGTCCTCCCTTATGGGTTTCTGTGAGTTGTCTAGGCTACTCATTCCGACAAATGCCTTATCCTGGGTTTGCTTGAAGTCTTGAGCGTTTAAAGTTTATTGGGTCGTTTTCCTTTTAATATGTCAGCCGTTCCAACGGAGGAGCAGAGAGAAAAGAGAATTGTGTGGACAAGAGTTTTCTCAACACCCTTAACAATAATGGTTTGATGTGATAACCCCCTCCCCAGACTCAGTAAGTTACAGTCATTCGTTACGTCGCCCTTGTTTCAACAATTTCAACAATTTGAATGTAACACATTTGAAAATGACGATCCGAAAATCTTTAAAGAATTTACGCATTGCTACTTAGGCCACAGCTGTGTTTATCAATAACCAGGGGAGCCAACCAGTGCAGTTTGTGATGTAACATTGTAAGAGTAGCGTCCCTTTGTGTAAATATTTGTTAAATAGAGTCCTTTCATATGACGTTACGTCCGTTCGTGATACCTACGCTCGCCGCCACAGTGGTGTACATCAGACGTAAACACAATCAGCTGTTCACCCGCGCTGGACGTGTTCACCAGCGCTGGACGCGTTCACTGTATGTAAAGAACCGCACCCGCGGAAAAGGAAAAATACTTTTAAAAACTTGAACTCTTAGGAATTGAAGATCCTTATACATTTAGTGACAGTTTCGTGGATAATATAAATATGTGGCCAAAATTTCTAAATAAAAATACTGTTAGTAATACTGTTTGCGTTTAGAGTTTAGAGTAGACGAATCTGATCAAATGCAGTTCTAGATACTTTGTTTCAGGTAAGGACAGTAAAATAATAAACTTCATTTTAATTATAAAAAGTAACTATTAATAAAAGAAAAAGTCAAAAGTAATAATAAGAAGAATAAGATCTAATAGTAGGCCTAATAATAGTGTTTTAATATCTAGATCTAGAATCTAGCTCTAAACATGGCGTAAACAAAATTCGGACCACAGATCTAGATTCTGGATTTAGGGTGACTGACTCCGCTGGGTAGACATAGAATCTAGAATCTACTTATTTACTTAAATTTAATTACAAAATTCAGATCTACATTCGATTCAAAATACACCCATAATAAATCAAAAGTAGTCATAATAGGCCTAATAAAGCATTTAATTGTTTCTAAGATCTAAAATCTCGCTCTATAATCTAATCATTTTTTTAGCAAACGAAATTTTCTGAAATTGAAATAGATTGTATGACTAGACTTAGATCTAGAATCTGCTACTTAAATTAAATTGTAAAAACTTTATACAAGCATGTAGCTGATATTATTGTAGTAGAAGGCTTTAATAAATTACTAAGGCCTACCTACTTTGTTGTCTTTTTACAGCAATATGTATCTGATACTGGACTGAGTTTAATTAAATTCAAATGCATATCTAGTAATTGGTCTACTAAGTTTTTGTAGCCTAGTAGTACAATCTAGATCATACCAGCCAACAACAAATAACCACATTATTATTATTTGGTTAATGATTAGGCTAATTTTTTTTTTCAAATCCACTGTTTATAAAAGAAACAAATCAAGCTAGAAACATTATAAGTGAGATGGTTTAGAATAATAACAATGGACCCAGTCTACAATTGATACAATTGCAGGTCTACATAGGGCCTACAGTCTAGTAGTTTACAGAGGCACCTAGTGTGTAGCTAGTATACTAGTGTGTAGCTGTCCAGAGTTAAGATTCTTAATGCTTTCCCCTGATAAGCCATGTGTGCTATAAATGACATAACATGACACCGAGGTGAGAAATGTTGAGGGGAGAGCAGTGGGACTTTCCCCTTTGTTCTCCCTGCTGGGCCCTGAGGGTCAAAATTATATAAGAAATACTATCTCTGTGGGGCTGGGTATCATGGAGGTGAGACATTTTCAGGGGAGGGCAGGGCAGACTCCTCTTTGGCTTTATTGTGGGCTAGATACAGGTGGGGGCAGCCATCATGAGGGTTGAACATCAGTATTAATGTGTCTGATCACTTCCCTGCTGGATTATAAGGGTCTTAAATTGTATAACATGCTACCCAGATTGGTTATTACCCATGGATTATATTAGTCGTTGTAGTGTGGGTTTTGTAGGAGTTAAGTGGTCTCATGTTTGCTACAGTAGATAACCTATAATATATTACTGCATTTGATCAGATTCGTCTACTTAAACTCTAAACGCAAACGGTATTACTAACAGTATTTTTATTTAGAAATTTCGGCCACATATTTATATTATCCACGAAACTGTCAATAAATGTATAAGGATCTTCAATTCCTAAGAGTTCAAGTTTTTTAACATATTTTTCCTTTTCCGCGGGCGCGATTCTTTACATACGGTGAACACGTCCAGCGCTGGTGAACACGTCCAGCGCTGGTGAACACGTCCAGCGCTGGTGAACAGCTGATTGTGTTTACGTCTGGTGTACACCACTGTCGCGGCGGGCGTAGGTATCACGTGATTTAAGGCACGTGTTTGCAAGGACTCTATATCTTCAGTCATAAACTGGACACAAACCGGATTATATAAATAAATATTTTTGTTATCTAAACTTGTTTTTGTTTTCATCTATCAATCATACATTTCTCTTCTTAATGTACACCACGAACATTGTAACAACAACCGACAACTTTACTTTCTAGATGTAAATTTTTAAATGACTGTTCTTATACTCTTTTTACCATTTAGAACTTAGAGTTAAAATCATTGGCGCTTCAGCCATGCATGTACTTCAATGCACCTTTCTTCGGTGTGTTTCATGCTAAAACACATTTCTGAATGTAAACCAAATGTAGGTGTTCTACGTAGCCAAAGGTATAAAACTTCATATTATCTCCGTGCATTCACATGAAGGTTTATTTATACATAGTTCTTGTATATTCTCGTTCATTGGTTCAAATGAAGAATAGAACCTGTTGACTATGAGATAGATAAGTGTTGTAAACGTACCAAAATCTGAGAGCTTTTAACAATTAAATCTTAAAATAAATTAAAACCTAAAATGGCATATCTATGGCGTATCAAAATATTTGCAACGAGAGATGTGTTAGTGCTTTTACGCATTTCGTTTGTTACCTCCCTTACCTTCTGCCTAAATTCAAGAAGACTTTTTAAAGGGATGTCACTATCGTGTGAAAAATATGTTTGATGTTAGTTCTGAGTAACATCAGTTTCGTATGTGACGGTTCGTCGATAAATGACCTTATACACCTGTCAAACATGTAAGGAGGGTGGGGGGGGGGGGAGTAATGTAAAAGTAATGCGTTTTTAACAGTACTTTTTAAAAATGAACTTCGCAAAAAGAATTCAGTCAAAGCTCTCCATATGTATTTGCAAATGACATAATATCGATGTAATCAACCTAACTATTACACGTATCAACCTAACTGAAACACGTAATTATTTTGAAAATGTCAATTCTATGATGGGAAACAACGCGAAAGTATAAAAAAATCAATTGTTGCTTTACATAATGAAGACATATGTGGAAAAGGTTTTATGACGGGTTATTTAGAATGGCTGACGCGTGAGTTTATTTTCGTGAGGGTGACAATGTGAGACGATACTAGTGTAGTGAGTGTTGGCAAAAATAGACCAACTTTAAAACCACAAACATCAATATAAGATCATTCTATGTATCATCTCTACTATTTAGAACACAATGACAACAAATATGATAAACAGAGGTGCTTTATTAAAGTTATACAACAGTAGTTTTGTTATTTAAGTTTTGTAATTCTAACATAATCCCATATGGCCTCATGTGGTAGATTAAAAACTCCAGTGTGTACATATTGGATGGACTCACATAATGGAAGCTCACAGCATAGTCACTGATGTTCTCTATACCCTAAAATATACAAATTATTAAATTAACACTCTAGTAAAGGTTAGATTTACACATAATTAGAAAATACACGACTACATTTGGCTTAATGTAATAATGCTAGGAAAACAATGTTCACAAAGAGTGCACTTGTATTATTTTACACATATATAATACATTTCAATTACTTGATAAATTAATAATCATTGTATCACTATAATTCTTAGTATTATTGATTATTAAGTTTTGAACGAATAGCAAAAACAGCGTAGAGTTTTGTGTATTATCTACAATGCGATATTTTTTATAACAGTACAGAAACTAATGATTTATGCAGATTCGGAAATTCTAAGTAATTATTTTATGATTTATAAGCGTCTAACGATAGTTAAAATAATTTTATATACCTTCTTGGCTCCGTGAGATTCTCGATCCAGGTACCATTGTCCATAATGTCCATTGACATGAGCCTCTGGGTTAAGACAATGGAACCTAGACCTGCCCAGTACGTCAAGACTGGTGCCAGTTCTCACTCCCAGCTTCTTCATACAGAAGGCCATCTCCACGTCTTCCCCGCCGAGGTCCTTGGAGCAGTTCACTCTGTCAGCATTGTCTCCAAATATCCTCAGCGCTTCTTTGCTCATCACGTAGCCAGCGCCCCCACTGTTTGTTAGGAGACAGTGAGAACGTCATCATAAAAATTTTAAAATTGATTTTATGTTTTTATAGATTATAAACATTTTTTTTTAAAATATACATCCCAAACTTTATTTTTTAAATGGAAAAGTTCTAGGTTATATTTAACGCAAAAAATACGAAAGGAATATACTTTCTAGGACATCCCCCCTCACTCTAATTTCGTCAATTAACGCCCCCCCCCCCCCCCCCCCCAAAAAAAATAAAATCCCAACACCTCGGAGTTATACGCCTCCCTCCCGCCAATTACACTCAGTCAATAACCCTCCTAGGAAAATCCCTGACCCAAAGCCTAACTCCAACTAAAAACATATAGTTAACACTAACCCAAACACCAATCATAACGCCAACTCTAAACATACGACTGACTCTAACCACAAGCCCCAACCCTTAGCCTTAGCCCTAACCCTAACGCCATCGCTATCTTATCCCTAACTGGGCGTGGGGTAATGCCATCTACCAGCAAACATACATTTATGTATACCTTACCTAAAATATCTGTGCACTTTTTCATACTCAAACAAATGACCAAAATAAACCGGTTCACTGGAATTTTCACCAGAAAGAAAATATCTCAGGTTTTCTAGGACCACATACGTATCGTCATCCACCTATGTTAAACATTATTTAAACAAAACATAGGATGAAATCAAACAACTCGCTTGATTATACAGTAACCTAAAGGTGGGCTGATAGACCCACTTCAAATCAATACAAATATTTGTTGATGATAACATTTGATTTACATATCATTTATCCCCACCTACACGAAGAATCTATATTTTGTTATTTATGCTTTTGTTAGCACAAAGTATTTAGCTCATAGATACCACTAATGAGAAAAGAGAGATTTATTGCATTGTACGTGAAGGATAATTTGCAACACAAATCATACCTTCATGAACCAATCAGCATCATTGAAATGGTTCTCATAAATGTATCTAAAGGCTTTCATCGTCTTTGCTGTTAGATGGTCTCTTCCTTCTGAGACATTCAGACCAATAGCTGGGAATGTCTTGTTGTCTTCAGAGCTGTGGGTTTAGTATTGAGTGGAGTTAATTTTTTCCTCCAAATTATTGTGTTATATCTCTAGTTATGTCTTTAAAAAGTATGTATTGAGAGGACAAAAATATAAATGTATTGAAATGATCCCATTTATAAATATGCTAAGATTTAATCAATCGAGACATAAGCCCTGTAGTATAGACTTTTCAACAATAACCCAGATGCTTCTGCAGTTTGTGAAATATAAAATTATTTTTAATGATTTCAAACTTCATGCATACTTGACATTCCATGATTGTTTTCTTGTGTTTTTAATCTGTGTCTGAATGTTGTTTTTGCATACATTATGTTTATATTTACAGCCTAAATGTTTGCTCTGGTCTCGATATAATTGTCCCACATAATGTAACATAATTTACCTGAAAAATAGAACCAAATCTCCGTGACGGGCCCAGGTCTCCTTAACAGCCTTGGCCTTCACGTGAAGGTTGTTTGGTGATGTCATCACCCAAATGAGAACCCTCACTTCTTTCCTCAAGTGTGTAGACAACGGTACGTCACCTAAATAATATTTTGATGTTATCCTTTTTCAAAATCCCCTGGTGAATTATTCTTTTTTTTCAATCAAAGTAAATTATTTTTTAGTTATTTTTTTAACAGGCAACACAACTAAGGATATTTGAAAATGATCAGCCAAAATATATTGTCTAAACAGACCACTTCATCTGGTTAAATACAATTGTAAAAGTATTATATTTATTAGTTATTAAAATGTGAAAAAAAGAAACGAAAAACTTACCTGTATGCTGTAAAGTATCTGAACTAAAACTGATATTATGAGAAATATGCATTGCATCTGGAATATCAGTATTATATTTAGAAGTCACCATCTGTTTTGCTGACCATGATATTATTTCAGATGTAACATTTGTATACGTCGTTACATAAACGGCAAGTATAAAGCCTAGAAAAAAACTTATAAGTAAATGTAGACTCGATTTCACTGCCATTTTGATGTGGAGCTGCAGCTGTTTGGCTAAGTACTGGATACCCAACTGCTTCAGGAAATTACGTTTGGTTTAGATAAAGAAAATAGGTTGTAATTTCAGATAAAATAGGCAAAACATTAAACAGCTGTTAGAGGATGGGTCTTATCACTAAACAATCAATGAGGTTTAGCGATAATACGTCTGTATATTTAGTTTTTTTTTCTCTCTTCTAAATTAGGAAGAGTAATAAATTGATAATTTTCAAAAAAAAATATGTATATTTTTAAGTACGTAAAATAATCTCGGTTTAGGGAAAATCTGGTGTGACCCGGTGGGGTCCGCATTCCCCCCCCCCCCCGCCTTGCAACCAGTGTTTCTTCCAGGGGTGCACTTGAAATTTTCGGGGGGGGGGGGGGAGCGGACAACAATTTTCGGGGGGGGGGGGGGAGCGGACACTGTCAAAAGTATTGTTTTCTATGAGGGGGTCGGTAGACTTTCTTCGGGGGGGGGGGGGGGGAGCAGTGCTCCCCCAAAGTAATGCCTGGAAGAAACTCTGCTCGCGACGCCTCTCTTCTGGTCGTATGATGTTTAAAACTATGATTTTTTATTTGGTTTTCTCATGTTAAAAGGATATTTTGTCTATGGATGATTTTTATACGGAAAGCTAGTGTTACTACTGTGTACACTTTATATTTGAACTTCATTATAAGGGAGACCCGGGATATTGGGTTAATTGTACATGTGAATCTCTTTACTTTAGGCTAGCTGTCAGCTTAAAACACACAGGGGATTAATCGATAGCTGTACTGATGTGTGATTTAACCCTTGATAGGATATGATAGTATCTGAAATCTCCATGTCAAAATGGCACGTTAGAAACATTTATCGTGGTCGATTAGTGGGGTGACTAACCAGACTAACACTGCTATTTTTGTTAATTTATTTCATTCACACGTAATTTATTTTACACTTCACTAAATGTCTTACAGAAAAAAAAAGTTATTTATGTCCAATAAATATGTAAAAATGTATGACAGACGTAAATAACTTTATTATTTATTGGTTAAACTCATTTGTATGCCGTACAAACAGTATCCAAATAGTATTGTAAACTAGAGAAACGTGTCTATGTTGAACAGAGATTTCTTCTTTTTTAAATTTGGTATTCAGCAGACAGCCCTTTTCAATTGTTGATGGACTGCACACAAAACTCGCTTACAATTTTCAATGGCAGCCAGACTGTAAAAACCTATAAAAACAAAAAGACCACAGTTTATGAGTTTACGTCTTGTATTTTTCAATTTCAGATGCTTCGTTTTTCTAACTGAAAGTTGGAGTTAATTTCACTGATATAAGCACACGCTTATTTATTTAAGATAGTTGTTTTCGTTCAAAACTCACTAACATTATTTTCTTGCACGAGATGACGATAGTGTTATCGTGGAGACACTATTATTGTTGTTCAACTTCTGGAGCTGTATTGGTATCCCATAGGGCCGCAGGTGATAGACAAAAAACTCCAGCACGTACATGTCTGCGGGAGTCACGTGATGAAAGCTAACGGTGTAGTCACTGAGGCCGTCCACACCCTAAAGATGCCATTTTGAAAAAAAATATATTAGATATAAACAAAACAACCTGCAAGAAACATTATTGAATGTACAAACTTCCACATTTCACTTTTTTTTTCTTTAATTCAATAGCGGTAATAGCAGAGGGTGTAGTGTATTATCTAGAATGCGATACTTTTTATAAGAGTGCAGAAACTAATTATTTATACAGGTTCGGAAATTCTACGTAATCATTTTAGTTCCGATTTCGTCAAAAATTAAATACGGAAATACGGTTTTTATTACCACTTTGAGGGCCTCGATTGATCTGTTCAAATACCGCCAATGATGCAAGCCGTTGATGTGGACTAAAAAAATGCAGGTATAAAAATAAAATGAAGTTTTCATTACCTGTTTAATGGCCTCTATTGACTTGTTAAAATACCACCGTTTATACATCCCGTTGATGTGGACCACAGGAGATTCCTGGTGGAACCGGCTGTTGCCTAGAGCGTCATGACTCCTGCCAGCCCTAACACCAAGTCTTTGCATACAGATGGCCATACGAACGTCTTCTCCACCGCTGTCCTCAGCACAGTTAGCTTGCCTAGCTCCTTCCCCAAACCTTCTCAGCGCCTCCTTGCTAAGAACATACCCAGCTCCACCGCTGCGTGAAACGAACAGATAAAAAATTCATAAAAAACGTTTTAATAACAAGCTTTTATGTAATGATGCACTAAAAAGTAGAAAATAAATTATAGACTACTATTTAAATAACTATAAAGAAAAGCGTGGGTCACTTTAGTATCTATTGGATACCTTTACTAATGTTAAGGAAGACACCCACGCTTTTCTTTATAGTTATTTAAATAGTAGTCTATAATTTATTTTCTACTTTTTAGTGCATCATTACATAAAAGCTTGTTATTAAAACGTTTTTTATGAATTTTTTTTCAGTACTTTACATGTTTTATTTACAATAGAGTTACATGACTAAAAACTATTGCGCGCCTACTGAACATCACGTTCAGTAGGCGCGCAATGGTTTTTGAACGCAGCCATTACGTGATGGCGCAGCTATTGAAGGTGATGACGCGTGTGGTGTGGTTGGCTAGACATGCCTACTAATTCGGTCCAAATTTTTATTAATTCATAAAAAATTAATTAGGCATCCAATTAAGTCAAATTTAGTTTCAGATTGCATTGTCTTCATGTCTTGACCCACGTGCCAACTGTGAATCGTATCGGTCAAGTAGAACTGTCCGAATTTTCACTCCTGCGTTTCCGTCTAGACTGACGACTGACGACTGACGACAGAGGAAGTGAGTTAAATAAAAGCTTGTAAAAAATATACTATAAATTCTCTTCTGATCTATTATTTTGATGGTGATTGTTTTGATTAGAATTTCTACATGAACCAAAGCATCATTACTTGAAGCCTATATTTTATGTAGCCCACAGCGCAAATACATGTTTTTAAGACGTGTTTTAATATTCATTTTTCTAACAAAGTTATGTTCTATTCTTATAGCTGTAATGCAATCATTGCTGTTATAAACTTATACCTAATTGGCGTTTGATTTTTTGCTTAAATAATTTACCCTTGGTATCCTTGCGTCAGTTCTGGTTTACTCCAAACGGAAAACAACTGACCAAAATACACTGGCTCACTGTAGTTTTCACCAGACAGAAAGTATTTTAAATTTTCGACTATCAGGTAAGTGTCGTCGTCAGCCTAAAAAAGGTGTTAACCAAATTAATAGCATTAAAACAGACAATTTACAAATAGATTATATATCAACTTAGGCAGTTTGCTTACTTTGTATAGGACTAAATCGGGCACAACTTAATTGTGTTGGAGCAATCCCCACCACATTACAAGAAATAAAGAAGAAGAAAATATATATTCTGTTGTTCGTCACCCCGATAAAACAACGGAGTGACAGAGAGAGAGAGAGAGAGAGAGAGAGAGAGAGAGAGAGAGAGAGAGAGAGAGAGAGAGAGAGAGAGAGAGAATGAAAGAAAAAACACTGGTCGAAATCACTCATACTTTCATGAACCAATCAGCGTCATTAAAATGGTTCTCATAAACATATCTGAAACCTTTTGACGTCTTTGCCATCAGATGCTCTCTTCCTTCGGAGACATTGAGGCCGATGGTTGGGAATGTCTTGTTGTCAACAGAACTGTAATGTATACGTTATATGTACATATCAATGTGTAAATTAAACAGTGGTTTATTTTTTTATATTTATTTGAGAGGAAACAATTTTAACATTCTAATCAATTTACGTAACCCTTAAATTTCTATTTGAAACTTTCTAAGAGAATATTTTAATATTACAGTAATAAAATTTAAAAAAAAAACCACAAGATCTACAACAATAAAATGTAAGCTACACTATTTGACTACATAAAAAATAAAAGCAAATATTATTTTAATAAATTATTTTTTGTTTAAACTACTATACTGCTAATTTCAGCTCTGATTTAATTAATGAGTTTAAAAATGGTAACCTGGTCAACGTGTTTTTACAAAAAAAAATGATAATGTTGTTTGAACCTAATATAAATAACAAATGAATACATCATTTTAGCTAACGTAGACATAATAACAATGAATTACAACTATTGGCGTTCGTCGGGGTTTCTCATTGTATATTAAATATGTTAGAAGATAAAAAAGCAAAAAAAAAAAACAGTATTACTGACCGACTATACGCGTAGTGTTTATGCTCTGATCTCCCAATACCAACAAATAAATAAACTAACCAACGATTTAATATTCAAAAATAAACATTATTAGTTATTACTAGTATGTGAATGGATATTCTGTTGGTGTTATTTAATTCATGTTAAATTCAATCGTTAAATTTAGATTCAAAAGTTTACTTTTTGTGATATTTAATAAAATGGACATGTAATCATTTTTTTTTTAGTTTTTTAAAGTATGTAGAACTATTTGTTTAAAGTACCTGTTAGGAACTTAAACTACATGTCAGTTTACCTGAAGAAGAGCACGTGACCGTGACGTGCCCAGGTGTCTTTCACAGCCTTAGCCTGGACAGGTAAGTGGTCCGGTGAGGTCATAACCCAAATTAGGACACGGACATCATTAACTAGTTTTAGAGCTATTGAGTCATCATCTGGTGGTATACATTGTTTGTATACATAAAACAATACAATTATCTGTTTTCAAAAATTATATTTTACTCATTAAACAATGCACCAAACTGTTTTCAAAAAACATAGATTAAACATTAAACAATGCAAATATCTTTTGTCACTAATCATATTTTATATATTACACGCTACAATCATCAGTAATTGAACGTAGATTTGGATACATTAAACAATGCAATCAGTTGCTTTTTAAATATAATATCTAACACATCAAACTCTTCAAGTATCCGTTTTGAAAAAGAATATTGTATACACAATGCAACCACCTGTTTTTTTTTTTAAAATATATTTGTATACCTTACAGATCAGTTATGTAGTCATGGAAACTATCTGGGTTAAAATCACCCTGCTTGGATAGCTATCTAAGGGCGCGAAAAGGTCATTTATACTGATTTCACAGGTATGTGTTGCTATGCTGAACTACGCCAAAGAATATGAAACTATTTAATCTACCTCTTGACACGTTTGATCTACAAGACATATTTCAATATTTGAATGACCTATAAACAGCAATTTTATGCTAACATCGCGATGAAATATACACTATATATATATATATATATATATATATATATATATATATATATATATATATATATATATATATGTATATATGTATGCATAGAGAGAGAGAGATGTTGCACAGTGGGAAATCACAACACACGCGATTGGTTCAAATTTATTACAAGCTTTTATTACAAGCTTTTATTTAACTCACTTCCTCTGTCGTAAGTCGTCAGTCGCCAGTCGTCAGTCTAGACGGAAACGCAGGAGTGAAAATTCGGACAGTTCCACTTGACCGATACGATTCACATTTGGCACGTGGGTCAAGACATGAAGACAATGCAATCTGAAACTAAATTTGACTTAATTGGATGCCTAATTGATTTTTAATGAATTAATTAAAATTTGGACCGAATTAGTAGGCATGTCTAGCCAACCACACCACACGCGTCATCACCTTCAATAGCTGCGCCATCACGTAATGGCTGCGTTCAAAAACCATTGCGCGCCTACTGAACGTGATGTTCAGTAGGCGCGCAATGGTTTTTAGTCATGTAACTCTATTGTAAATAAAACATGTAAAGTACTGAAAAAAAAATTCATAAAAAACGTTTTAATAACAAGCTTTTATGTAAAGATGCACTAAAAAGTAGAAAATAAATTATAGACTACTATTTAAATAACTATAAAGAAAAGCGTGGGTGTCTTCCTTAACATTAGTAAAGGTATCCAATAGATACTAAAGTGACCCACGCTTTTCTTTATATTTATTTAAATAGTAGTCTATAATTTATTTTCTACTTTTTAGTGCATCTTTACATAAAAGCTTGTTATTAAAACGTTTTTTATGAATTTTTTTAACTCACTTCCTCGTCAGTCGTCAGTCGTCAGTCTAGACGGAAACGCAGGAGTGAAAATTCGGACAGTTCTACTTGACCGATACGATTCACAGTTGGCACGTGGGTCAAGACATGAAGACAATGCAATCTGAAACTAAATTTGACTTAATTGGATGCCTAATTAATTTTTTATGAATTAATAAAAATTTGGACCGAATTAGTAGGCATGTCTAGCCAACCACACCACACGCGTCATCACCTTCAATAGCTGCGCCATCACGTAATGGCTGCGTTCAAAAACCATTGCGCGCCTACTGAACGTGATATTCAGTAGGCGCGCAATGGTTTTTAGTCATGTAACTATATTGTAAATAAAAGTTGTAAAGTACTGAAAAAAAAATTCATAAAAAACGTTTTAATAACAAGCTTTTATGTAATGATGCACTAAAAAGTAGAAAATAAATTATAGACTACTATTTAAATAACTATAAAGAAAAGCGTGGGTGTCTTCCTTAACATTAGTAAAGGTATCCAATAGATACTAAAGTGACCCACGCTTTTCTTTATAGTTATTTAAATAGTAGTCTATAATTTATTATTGTTAGTTTGACGTTTAATAATTTATTCATGTATTATTCAAATGAGGTTCGAACTCAGAAAATATTGTAGAAAGAAAATTATTAAAAAATGTTGAAGTAGAGTTCACCTGTTTTTGTGACCTGAGCATATGAAGGGATAGTGTGGCCGGACCAATGTTTAGCCGAAATCAGAGGTTTTTTTTTAAAAAGACAAAAACATGCTGTCTGAGTTGTGGCGTTTTTGTAAATGAGGGGTCTGGCTTTTTGCGACGATGTGTGACATTAGGGAGGGGAGGGAAACATACAAAATCGTCAGACAAACGTGACGTCATTTATCGATGACCCTCAAAGCACAGTTATCCAAGGATAAAGACTAATCTAGTAACTCATAATGACGCGACTCTATGCTGGATTCTTTTCAAGTTTCTGAACTAAAAATAGAATTGCTACGTACCATTTTGGATGAATTCACCTTCGGGTGCATTTCTGTGATTTTGGTAGTTTACAATACCACTTAATCTATGTTTAAACACAGTCGTTTCTGTGCGATTGAGTGAAGTTGCTGTAAAGAATGTGTTGAACAGTCTTGTGTTGGTTAAATATAAAGTAAACATTAATCCACTGAATAGGCAAATGATTAGAGCCTTAAACACTGACTGCAATAACATTTTAGTACACACTTATTTAGCATGAATGCCCACTATTTTTGCAGTATGTCAACATAATACTTCAGATTTTTAAAACCAAATATACTATTGTTGAATTATCTGTATATTACACATCATAACATTCAAAACAAGTAATACAAAGCAAATAAAAGTGTCTTAATGCATGTTTAAAACACAAGTAACTTAGTTCAATAGCAGGTGTCTGATATGATTTTACTTCATCTCAAGTTAAAGTCTATGCGTACATATCAACTGCAAAACACGTTCATTTTGTCGTCAAATATTCAATACTAATGCTATGAGATCAATATAACTTCGCCTGAACATGAAAGTGAACGTATATATGTCAAATTGACTGTGTGTCAAAAAAAAAAGTTCTTTGTAAGTGGTGAATAGAGTACAACTCTTTGTGTGCTAAACTAGAATCCTTGTAATGGACGGAAATCTAATGATATACAAGGCAACTTTCTGACGCTTGTTTAATAAAATATATGTGTTCCCGATTGTTAAGGTCATAACTTAACAGTCATATTTTTGACACCATCTTTTTTAATCATTCTATATGTGTTTTCGAGTCACACTTCGGGAGTCTATTGATTTTATATCATTACATTTCATGTCAACCACGTGAAAATCTACTGAGTTGATAGATGTTTATTTTTCTAATGTTTCTTACTTTCAAAATCATGACTATAATGGACAGAGTTTTAACAAAATTTACCCTATTACATATGGATCATTACAGGTAACTAAGTAATGTATTTGGGATAGGTGCGGTATGATGTTGTAATTTACCATTTTCTTTTCCGATATAGAAACCATTCAATATAACACTATTGATATTTTTAAACTGCTCAGGTACCCACTTTTAAAACAAATAATATAATTAAAGGAAAGTAAGCGAATGCCCAGCAATAAATGAAAGACACATATATATTTTTTTTACTTTCGTAACTGACAAAGTAGTATCAAAAATATGAGGTTTCCATTTTACGTAATAGTATGATAACTTAACGAACGGGAACTTAATTAGTCGATGTTATAACTAGGCATGTTATAGCTAAGGATGTTAAGCTGGGGATGTTATCTCTAAGGATATAGTTGGGAATGTTGTAACTAGGTATGTTTTAGCTCAGAATGTTAGAACTGGGTATGTTATAATTGGGGATCTTATGGCAGGGGATGTTATAAATGGGGATGTTTTTTTTTAAATAAATAATTGTATAATTTTTACAACATTATCTCTCTCATTGTTTTATTCTTCTTAAGTTTGATTTTGTTGCAAAACAAAATTGTTCTTATGCAATAAGAATATCAAAGTAATGTGTGAAAAATCTTGGATCCTGTGTAACAATTTCTAGATTAGTTATATCTAGAAATTTTTGTATAATAATGTTTGCGTTAGGAAATTATTAAATGTAGGTAAATTGGTCTAGTTATAGCTTTTCCTGCGCATAGTGTTCGTTTGTCTCAATCTGTCGGGCGACTTTGACTTAAAATATTTTGTATTTTGCGTGGGGTTATTCCGTACTGGTATTTTATGGATATTTTCTATCCATTTCGATACATAAAACTGTTCTGAACTGAATTTTTTCTGTGTCTTCATTTATTATTATTGAATAAGAAGTAAAACCGATAATACGACATAGGCTGCTAGGCTTTGAAGTAACATTTTATAACAAGATCCCCTTCGTGGGTTTAAACACTACATAGCTGTGTCAATCAATAGTTTTACTGTCGTATGTTTAACACTTAGCTGGTCAACGTGAAATGCCATAAAATGTCGGAATAAAAATAATCCTTTTAAAATATTGGATGGGGTTGACTAGTAATATGATATAACTTTGAGTTTAGTCGGATATAATAAAAATATTTACCTAACTAAATGTGTATGTATGTAAGTTTTTTTGTTGTTCTCATTAAGAGCAGATGATAAATTTTTATACCACTTTAATGTTGTTGAACGTATCTAAATACGTTAAACGTATCAAAATAATGTTCTCGAAAAAAAATTAAAACTGGAATATTTAGAAGCTGTTACTTTAATATTTTAATTTTAATTAAAAAATATTTACTTTTGAAAGCAAGTAAAACTAAAAACTATAATCTGAAAAAAATACAAATGATTTTAAGTATTTATTTTTTTGTGGTAAGTCATAAACCAACAATATTGAAATGTGTAAATAAATAAAAGCAGCGCCAAATGTCAGATTGATTTTGAGGAAGAGTAAATTAACTTTTTTTATTTTTTTATTTGTTATATTCTTTGCATATTTTTCCGACAGCGTCTTGATAGTGATGTATATGTGTTTTTATGTGATTATATAATATACACAGCAATTTTCTTTGACAATCGTTCTTCCTGTTATTTTTCTGAACTTTCGTAGTTCAAATATTTAAGTTATTTCCCTTGCGTTAAAAAAGATCAGTTGTTACCCTTATTAACTTTAAAAAAGTTCTTGCAGGCTGAAACTTTGAGAGGTTTTGTTATTTAATTGTTGAAGTTGTATTGGTATCCCATAGGGCCGCAGGTGATAGACGAAAAACTCCAGCATGTACATGTCTGCGGGAGTCACGTGATGAAATGTCACGGTGTAATCACTGAGGCCGTCCACACCCTACTCAAGCGGTGTTTTTGTTAAGAATTTTTTGGTCACTTTTTAAAATTGTCATAATTAAAATGTAAGTGGTTATAGATGGTACATTTTTTACAATACTGCTCGTTTTTTTCTATAAATTGAAACATAATTAGAATTAGCTGTTTAATTTAATCTATATCTCTAAAAGCAAAGTGGATTCTGTCACATTTAGGTTGAAATTTAAGTTTGATTTTAGTTGTTTGCTTATTTATAAAATTGAAAAAACTTAAAGTTAGGTTTTAATATTATTAGAGATGCTGTAAGTTTACTTAACACTAAATTATAGTTACTGTTGGCTTTTATCTTTTAGTAGATGTAGAGTTTGTTGAGTGTTTGCATGCAATGTTGTGTTAACTTTCTCATATGTGTTTGCTATGATGGTGTAAAAAGCTATATCCTCTCACACGATTCTAATCTTATAATATATTTTTGTCTATTTTAACTGTATCATGTTCTAATTCTTCATGAGAGGGAAAGTAAATAACAAGAGGTTTTCTGTTGATTTATTCGACTCTGATGCTTATTACATTAGCTTGAGGAACCGTGTTATTGAAGAACGGCAAGTATATATATATATATATATATATATATATATATATATATATATATATATATATATATATATATATATATATATTAGCCTCTGTGAAAAACCTATCTGTAGAGGACCGTAAGCAGCATATAACCGGCAAGGACATTTGACAAAAGAACACATAACCCTAAACGCAACTCTAACTTTAAACTTAACACTAACCACACCCAACCAAAACCAAAACACTCAAACAAACGCAAACACAATGCAAACACACACATACACACACAAACGCAAACTCAAACACAAAAGCAAACGCAAACAAAAACGCAAACTAAAAGTCTCTGCATAACACAATTCTTAAAAAACGTATTGTTTACATGTCAATGTATAAGGCAGCGTTACACGCAACACAGCTTAAAGCTGCATTGTAATTTGAATCACATGTCATTAATGCCAAGAGCAAGTGTCTGAAAAAAAATTCTTTTTTTTTTTTTGCTTCTCAATTTAAAGTCTAGTCCAATTAACCAGGTGCAAAGGATGTTTAACCCAGTCGTGCTTTCATGAAAAAGTTCAAATCTATAAAACAAGTCTATAAAACAAATCTATAAAACAAGTCTATAAAACAAGTCTGTAAAACAAGTCTATAAAACAAATCTATAAAACAAGTCTATAAAACACACTGTAGTCTAAGCATGAATGCTATCGAATATATGAAAGCCCTAAAAAACTGAATTATTTCACTTTTGTTAACAATATAAATATTTTAGAACGATCTTTGTAAGTAAATATTTAAAACGTTTAATTTAATAATTAAGCCAACGTGGGGGCAGCTATAGATCGATTAAACGTATGTCCAATAAATCAATAAAATCATAATAAAACTGTCAAGAAACTAGACATTACCGATGTTATCTATTCGACTTTTTAGTCAAACATTTAGTATCTTATTAATTTTACTTAGTTTAAATTTCTAGCCAACAATGGTTAAGACTTCAGATATGGGGTCATCCATAAATGACGTCACGCTTTTTTTGACGATTTTTACCTCTCCCCCCCCCCCTCCCGTCCGTCACACGTCGTCACAAAAAGCCAGACCCCCCCCCCCTAAAATGACGTCACACCTCAACCTACAACCCCCCTCAAAATTGCAGTTGAATTTTTTAAAAACATCGATATTTTTCCAAAATTTTGTCTAAACTATTACAATTTATTAAAACAGTTATCTAAAACGCGAAATAACGTCTAAAATTCGTTTTTTAACATTGCTTTTTTATAATGCAAAAATGTGACGTCGCAACATCTGACACCCCCCCCCCTCCCCTCATCACACATCGTCACAAAATTACGGACCCCCCCCCCCTCCCCCCTACGAGTGTGACGTCATTTATGGATGACCCCTATGACATTAATCTGTTATAAGTGTTTGCTGCATAATCGTGATTATAAATGTTTAATTTAGTTTAATTAAACATGTCCTTCCATTGCCATTGTGATTGTTCTATTAAGCAGTAAACTGTCTGCTGATGGGGGTTCGATATAACATTTAATTATTTTATATTATGTTTATATAGAACCAACTTAAAATTATTCTTGTTTAATGATTTTTTTAGTTCAGAGTTTCTTCCAGGCATCTCTTCGGGAGGGGCGAAGCCACCCCGAAAATATTCTACCGCCCCCCGAACGAAATGAAGTTTATAATTTATGTAGAAAATATATACTTTTAACAGTGTCCGCCCCCCCCCCACCCCCCGAAGAAAGTCTACCGCCCCCCCCCCCCCCCCGGAGAAAAAAAGTCTGGAAGAAACACTGGGGGCGGTTATGGTATCTATTTTTAAAGCAATGAAAAAAAATAACCAGAAAGAATGGAAAAGACGATGGATTATCAAGCAAGTGTTAAATAAAAAATATTTTTTTTTTACTTTCATAACTCTGTCAAAAAATATGGAGACTCAGTTTTATGTATGATAAATTTCACTGTAAGGAGGGCAAACCAATTCATCAAAATGAAAACTATATTTTTAAGCCCGAGATAAGCCGATAAGTTTTATAATGCGACAGTATTCAGCTATTTTAATTGGTGTGTTGCAAGTTGAACAGGGCATTTAGCCAAACAATTAAACAAAGATTTGTTAGATGTGCAACTTAAACACGTGATTGTAATATCTGAAGGAAGGATGGGCTGTATAAACAGCTATATCTACACCAGCACACCTTGAGCCTTCTTTTTATTTTGTATACTTGTCAATATCAAAGAACGTGTTATCTTACCCATACATGCTATTTTTAGTTAATCCAATATATATAGTGGCGTTGATTAACCGAATACTTCGCATAATAGCTAGCTATTCTAATACTTTTTTATCCGGGTGTATGATATAATGTAAAAGTTATTGCAAATAAAATAATATGATTGGGGATTTGTATAATTGGAGTACATTTTTTATGGGATGTTCTGTATAGGAAATTTATATATAGGATTTAATATCTGTCAATACGCAGATTAGGGATATTTCGCCTAGGAATGTTCGGTCTGCATATATTTTTGTCAGATTATATATTGTAACTAGACTACCCGTTATCTAGTTAGATAACTGTGGGTTTCGGGGGGTCATCCATAAATGACATCACGTCTGCCAGCACTTATCATCCCAAAATAACCAGACCCCCACATTCAAAAAGACGTTTTTTATATTTTAAAAACTCTACTAAACTCTACTTCACCTGCCCAGTGCCCCGCCAAGTCTCAGCCATGTTTGTATTTAAAAAAAACCATTGAAAACATTGTTTTAAAAATAAATCTTTATACTATTACTAAAGTCATTGTTCTATACTTTTATAATTAATGTGGTTAATCTACCAATGAATATATCAATAAATTAATTTACGGCTTTAAATTAGTTTGTAATTAACAGCGTGTTTAAGAAAGAACAATATTTATCACCCAAAATCCTATTTTACAGCTCTATACATAATGCAGATTCTCCCCAATAACAAATCAGAAAAACAAACAAACAAAAAAATGAGTTATCAAACGTCACTATTCAGTCAAAGTTAAGCCATTGTTCTAAAACTTTAAAATTAATGTGGTTAATCTACCTATGAATAAATCAATAAATTCATTAACGTCTTTAAATAAATGTGTGATTAACAGTCTGTCTGCAAAGAAAAATTGTTCTCAACCTACATACTATTTTACAGCCCCCCCCCCCCATATAGAGCAGTTTTCTTACAGTACCAAATCAGACAAACAAACAAACAAATAAATATTCAAACATGTAAACAAACTTGAGTTTTAGTAGTATATAGATGGATAGATTGAAGCTAGGTTATTGTGCTTCTTCTGGATTAATTTGTTTTCAGATGTAATCGTTTCTGGACTATATTTTTGGAAAAATATATTATGTATTAAATTATTATATTTAATAAATGTATTATATTTTACGATAGATAAAGAAAAAAATAGTTTTTGAACCAAAATTAATTGTGATTCAAAACATTATGCATTCATCTTTCTTAGAAAAATATAATTACAGCACATGAAAAAACAATCTCAAAAAATCGTAAATTTTATTTAAAAAAGTTTCAAATTTCGAACTGAAATTTTAGTGTTTTTTTTTAATTTTTATTGTTATTATTATTTATTAGCATGTAACTTTTTAAAAACAAAACTTATCTTCACCTGTCAATATTATTATTCTTGCTTAACCTTGGAGAACATACTGCTCATGTTCATCTTACGAATTTTGTCTTCCCCTATCGTGGAGACACCAGTCCTGTTATTTAAGTTCTGAAGTTGTATTGGTATCCCATAGGGCCGCAGGTGATAGACGAAAAACTCCAGCACATACATGTCTGTAGGGCTCAGGTGATGAAAGCTCACGGTGTAATCGCTAAGGCCGTTCACACCCTACAAATACGATTTAAGAAAATACTTTAACTATTTTTAAAACAAAAACGAGAGTGTAATAGTAAGTGTTGACATGGCATAACCAGTGGAAACATGCTCTAGAAATAATAACTAAGTTTGTGACAAAACCAGTTGTGTTTCGAGAAAACACAGAGAGACGACAGTTTTTTTTAGAATATTCTGCTTTAGGGTAAACTGATATAAAAGTATAAATTTCTGAAGGTTTTTTTTAGAAACTAGAAATTGATTAAAGCAACACTTCCGTTTACCGGAAATCGCAAACACTAACACAATGTTTACCTGATTCTAGCGCGTAACAGTAAAAATAAATACAACCATAAACTGGTAACCAAACACTCGATTTAAGTAAAACAAACAAATTAATTATTTATTTTGAAGGAAATTCCGTCCAACAATAAATTTTTAAAATGAAGAAGAAAATGATGCTTAGTTTTGATAACATATTGTTGTGACATAAATATCATATTTGTTGCTGTTAAAACCCTACATTAAATCAGAAGTTATTTGATTTTTTTCCCACCGATTCTGTGTTTCTGAGTATTAAAAAAAGTTTGTCAAGAACCAAGTTTTCACAATGGGTCGTCCATAACTAACGTTAAACTCATAGGGTGGAGTGAGGATTCGTAATTTTGTCACGATGTGTGATTAGGGGGAGAGGATTTAAGAGAGTGAAGTTACATTTTTGCATTTTAGAAAAGTATTGCTAGAAATTGAATTTTAGCAGATAATTCGCGTTTTAGAGAAATGAATAAATAGTAATAAAAGTTCATTAAAATACTTTTTGTTGATCGAGCTCAGTCAGTATTTCAGAAAATAATGGATGAGGTGGAGGGGGGGGGGGGCTGTAGGCTGTGGTTTGAAGTCTTTTTAGGGTCCCTTACCATTGTAATAGCCTCCATTGACTTGTTATAATACCACCGTCCATATAACCCATTGATGTGGACCACTGGAGATTCCTGGTGGAACCGGCTGTTGCCTAGAGCGTCATGACTCCTGCCAGCCCTCACACCAAGTATTTGCATACAGATGGCCATATTCATGTCCTCTCCGCCGCTGTCCTTGTGACAGTAGATTTCTTTCTGGGATCCTTCCCCAAACCTTCTCAGCGCCTCCTTGCTTAGAACATACCCAGCTCCACCTCTGTGTTGACGAGTATGATAAATATACGGTAACATTTATGCTATCCGCCGTGTGAACTAACAACTTCTCATCTAATGCACAAAAGTCCTACCAATAATTTTGAAAACCGCTGTGTAAGTAACTACTGTCCATTCCATTATTTATCTCTTTTTTTTCTATTTTTAGCATTAGCATTTAAACGGTAAGCCCTCCTTAATAAATGTATTACAGTTCCAGCCCTGCTTTTTTATCTACCTTACATGTAACTGGCAAGTAACTGGTATTTAGAAATATATTTTTGTAACGTTTTGTTATTTGGTACTTTAGTTTCAATACCTACGTTTGATATCCTTGCTTCAGTACCGGATGTCCCCAAAGTGCGAACAACTGGCCAAAATACACTGGCTCACTGTAGTTTTCACCAGACAGAAAGTATTTTAAATTTTCGACGATCAGGTAAGTGTCGTCGTCAGCCTAAAAAAAAAACAAATATGCAACCGAAATCGTTAGCATAATATGGATTTTTTCTAAAAATACATCCAACATATAAAAGTACGTGTTTCTGTCTGTGGGTTTGTCATTTATGCATTACTACCATGAAACTTTAAAACGTTGATAAGAGTACCACGGGAAAGATTTTTGTGAAAAATTATATATACTTGTATATACTTTGCTTCTTCGAGGGGAGGGGGGGGTGACACCACGGAGTGGCGCACAGTGTGACACCCGACATAGCGACGCCACTGTGTAGGACTAGATCGCGGCAACGCGCAATGGAAAGCTACAAAGATTTACAAAGACAGTGTAAAAGATTACCCATACCTTCATGAACCAATCAGCGTCATTAAAATGGTTCTCATAAACATATCTGAAAGCTTTTGACGTCTTTGCCATCAGATGCTTTCTTCCTTCTGAGACATTCAGGCCGATGGCTGGGAATGTCTTGTTGTCAACAGAACTGTAATATATACGATATATGTGCATTTCAATATTTAGCCATAAAAGTAAGCAAATTTAACTATGCATAAATCAGCTGCTTTGAAATTTTATGATAATTAAAAATACCATTTTTCCGGTATTGACTTTATTGCTAAAATGTAAACTCTGTAAACCAAACATGAGAAAATACGTGTTTAATTGTCTTGTTTACATTATTGATTTATGTAAAAAGTACATTTTTTGTAGTATTCGGTTTAATTGCATATTACAAAAATGAACAAAAAATCTATTGGCTATTCTATTGATGTTATATTTCCGTTAGTAATATTCTGTTCGAGTTGTTTTATTTATGTTAACATCAGACGTTGACAATCTTAAATATTTTGTTTTTTAAAACATTTTAACGAAATGTATGTATAACATTGTTTTTTTTTTCGAAAAAGCTATAGAGCACTATGCTAAATAAAAATACTGGTTAGGTTGTTAAACTACGTGTCAGTTTACCTGAAGTAAAGCACCAGCTGACCGTGACGAGCCCAGGTGTCTTTTACTGCCTTCGCTTTGACAGGTAAGTTTTCCGGTGACGTCATCACCCATATAAGGACTCGGACATCATTAGCAAATTTTCGAGAAATTGAGTCATCTTCTGCTGGCAAAAATATATTTTACACATAAACAACTTTCCTATAGAGTAAAGTTTAAAACTGTAAACATACAGGTCTAGTTCTTGCTGTTAGCTTATTTCCATTATAAACAAGCTCTCTACGTTCTTCTAAGACATTAAACATCTTACAAATAATTATTAGTGGGTGTATCCAGGTCTGGAATATCAGTTCAGCAATATAAGCACGTGCTAGAGCACAAATGAAAATAACAATTGTTTTGTTTTTTATTTAAAATTGTTTTTATTGGGATATTTTATATAATAAAATTAATTTAAGTGCTTGTTTCTACCACAGTGAAACAAAAACTTGTTTTTTTTTTTACTTTAGAGCTTATATGCATATATTTAGATAATACTGTTAAAGGGTTTCCTTTTGAATATAAAAAAAATCCCATTTCAATTACGTAAAGTGAGAAATTGATTTCCTCCCCACTGCCTATGTTTAGACTGTAAAAGTTTCCTTTACGAAGTACAGTTCACCTGTTTCTATGAACTCAGGCTCCCGGTCAAAACCCCGTGGACATAAACCCCCTGGACATAAACCCCCCACATAAACCCCCTGGACAAAAACCCCCCGCGACATAAACCCCCTGGACAAAAACCCACCGCGATATAAAATCCCTGGACAAAAACCCCCCGCGATATAAACCCCCTGGACAAAAACCCCCCAATTGAGGTTTATATAAGGAAAAACCAAAGATGATGAGAAACAAAATTAATATAAAAATACAAAACAAACATTAGGAAAAAAATTATTTTTATTATAACTTTAAAAAGACAGATTGTGAGCGATGCCTCGCAAATACTCAATAATGGTGGACTCATTAAAATTTTTAACAACAATTAAAATTCGAGAGCTGCTATCAATATATTTTTTTTTCTGTTTTGGTAAACAGTGACCTGAATTAATCTGTGTACAATAAACCTCTTGGAGAGATTGTTCCTTTTTAATAAAGTCAATAAATTTCCAAATATTTGGGTGGCAACATCCCATATGCGACTGAAAACTTCTGTGCCAGCCTTCAACTGAGTTGTTTGTTTTTGGCATATGGTCTTCTGCACGTGTGTGCATGTTCCACATGTCAAGTGGAAACATATGTTGTCTTCGACCTCGACGTTGTGGTCTGCCAATATAGTAGTCCTCAAAGTAGTCTGCAATCGGCATTGCTTCTTGGGGGAAAATTTCCAATAATTTTTCAAAGGCATAACTCATGTGTTCGATGGGAACAAAGGCCAAAGCAGGTAGCATTCTGAGCTTGAGAGCAAATTCACTATCAACTTGATAGAGTTGTTGAAGGCCAGAGTCCTGAATTTTTCTGTATGTATTTTGGCTAAGATGGAAGAAACATCCTTTGACCTCACAATCTGGAAATACCCTTTCAACCCTTTTTATCACAGCCATTTCAAAGTCAATCATAATAGAAATTGGTTGCAGGTTTGTGTTTAAGACCGTTAGCTGCTGTAAGAGTGTTGTGTATGTTTCCTGTGTTTTGTTTTGAAGTAAGGCATAGCCTTCAAAAATCACCTTTAAATTTCCTTTATTGGATTGAACGAACACCATTCCAGAAAATATACGATTTGTCGAGAAATAAATTTGATTTTATATTTATACCATGGTTCTGTATGCCAAGGTGGATATGAACCAAGCTTCCGCCGGTGAATCCCTCACATCTTTTGAATTGTTAAGAATGTGTTGCTTTGATCCGCACGGCTCCCACATGACCTATATCTAAGGTGTTGTCGGTGCCCGATCTTTGATCAAATACAACTAAGGTCACTCCTTGATTTCGAAAAGCATTTTTTTAGGTAGAAACTATTTTCTTAGTCGTAAAAAAATTAAATTAATTTAATGTAATTTTTAAAGATTTCTTGGCTCACATCATCGTTATTTTTTCTTTATATAAACCTCAGTCCGGGGGTTATTATCCGGGGGGTTTACATCGCGGGGGGGTTTTTGTCCAGGGGGTTTATGTCGCGGGGGGGTTTTGTCCAGGGGGTTTATGTCGGGGGGGGGGGTTATGTCCAGGGGATTTCGTCCAGGGGTTTTTTGACCGGACACCATGAACTCAGCATATGAAGGGATACTGTGGTCAGCAATATGTCCAGCCTTTTCTACTCTCCCTGACATGTGGTAGATACCCATTAGAGCTGGGTCGACTCAAGGAAGTTCTAATGACTTTGACCCGAATTCGGGTTAGCAGTCTGGCACTCTACCCCTAGGTCACGCAGTCTCATAAGGTCTCTTATTTATTTATTTTTATGTTGAGAAGGTTGGAGTATTCTGAATAGCTTAGGGTACAAGCCTCCTTTAACACGGTCCTGAATGGGTCCAGTAATTTCACAGATGAAAAACAAGAATCTGATGCCCCTAGAGCGAAGGTGACCGGATTAGGGAATGAAGTTGAAAGGGCAGCAGCCAAGACGCCCCCCACCCACCCCCGAAAAGTTCAACACGGGCCTTGCCAAAGATGAATTCACGTCTACGATCGATTCAAGTAAGAGAAACAATCTTGTGTTTGATTATGGTCACACAAAATAGATCAGAATGTAAACTCACGTCGCGCCCCTCTGCTAACAGAGTACCGACAGGGTAGCAGGACTAAAAGGATACGCTTGTGTGTTCCGAAATGTACTTACCATCTTGCTTGAATTCACCGTACAAAGCATCTATGTTATTCTGGTCGTTTTTAATCCCACTTGATCTATGTTGAAACGTTTCTGTACGATTGACTGACTTTGGTGGAAAGAATGTGTTGAACGGTCTTGTGGTGTTGGTTAAATACAAAGTAACAATTAGTCCAATGATTAGGCCAATGACTAAAGCCATAAACGTTGATTTTGAGAACATTTTTTGTTGGCCCTGTACTAGTACAAACAAAAACCCTCAGCATCAAAACAATTTTAAAAAAAAAATGAAATCTAGAACTGCTAAAAGGTCAATGTATTACGCAACATTACATGTAACACAAGTAGGCTTATACCAAGTAAAGTAAGTCTGTGTTTTACTTTCTTCACTGCTTAGACCTGCATTGTAGTTTAAAACACGTCACTAAATTCAAAGGAAAGGTGTTTGACATTTATAATGCGTCTCAAGACAAGCTCAGCATATCTAACATATCTAATGAAAATGAAGTTAAAATCAGTTGTATTTTTATGCCTTATTTAAAACCTATAAGGCTAAGATTTTTACTTAAACGTGGTCAACACATGACATGTAACGCATAATTATATCAATGGCGTCGAATGTAAACCAACTCAGAAAATATGAATTGTCTCTGCGGTTCATGAATAAAAAAGCTGTATGATTCCGCATAATGTCACCGTGATTATGTATTAAAATAATTATTCATAATGATTTTTGCAAATGAATTGTAAAAAACGGTCAATTTAATAAATAAGCAAACTTGCGTAGTAACTGTGTTCGAAAAACGTATGTTTTTGACAAAGCAATTGAGTTAAAATAAAACTGTTAAAAATCTAGACAACACCTTTGTTATCGAAGCTAGTTTTCGGGTCCAACGCTTAATCTCGTAACGTATTGATTTCACGTCGTTTAAATTTCTTGTCAACGCTGATGATAGTTAAAGCTTTAGGAATGACGTTCATTTTTGTAATGCTTATTACTTGTAAAATTGTGTGTATAAATGTTCGACTGAGTTTTTAGCATATTTAACCTCATTCATACGGACAGATTAGATATAGGCCCTATTTGAAAATTTAGGACATTAAGTAATGTTTAGAGGGATGTGTGTTACAGTTCACCGGACTTAGAAAGTGTGCTGTGGCAGAGAGAGGGGGGGGGTGGGACAATTAATAGGAACAACATTTGTCGCCAAATATTTTTACTAAGAAAACTTACTGTAACTATAATTGTAATTTTTTTCTTTTTTACTTTCTCGTATACAAAGTATAGAGGAAGTATTGTAATCGTGCAAAAAACGATATGTTTTACACTTCCCTGAGTCGGAAAAACTTAGTTTTGCAATTTTGTTCGTATGTCTGTGTGTGTGTTTGTGTGTGTATGTTTGTGAACACGATAACTAGGGAATCGTTACAGCTAGGTTGTTGAAATTTCATATGTTAACATATCAAAATTTTCAGCGATTTCCGGTAACCGAAAGTGGAACATATTCTACTTTTGGTTTTTCAAAAGCCTCTAATAACTTGAGTACTGTTTCCGATGGACAGAAGAAAAAAAGATCAGCCTTTTATAAAATTTTGAGTAGTTTTTGTTTACCGGAGTTATTTTTCTACGTTATTTCCGATTTCTCAAAAAAAACGCATCAATAATTTATAAAGTACTAATATTCCGCACTATTATACACACATTGTTTGCTGTTCACTTAGTGCGCAATTCTTTTTTCAACGAGATTCTATTCTGTTTAAATATGTTTAAAGTTTCCCTTTCAAACCTGACGGTCTATGGGGCAAGTGAAGTAGAGTTCACTTGTTTCTGTGACCTCGGCATATGAAGAGATAGTGTGGTCAGCACTATGCCGAGCCGCCTTTACTTTCCCTAACGTGAGTTAGGTGCCCATCAGAGTTGGGTGGACTTAGGGACGGTCTACTGACTTGTACCCGGATACGAACTCGAGACTTACGGGTTAGCAGTCCAGCTCTCTACCGCTAGACCACTCCGTCCCTTTAAATATGTTTAAGTAGTTAAAAATTGTTTAAAACTCATGTCTATATCCCGAGTTGCCATCCCCTGTAGTGTTATCTAAGTATCTTCAAGAAAGTTATTGGAGAACACTCCCACTTTTTAAAATGTTATAACATTGTGAAGGTCGAGATCTCTTACTTCTACAAACAAATACACGCCAGAGAAATTGTTTGAAAGAAAAGCCTAGCAATGAAGATTATCTTAAGTGCTTCTTATTGCAGGGGATCTAAATCCAGGGTATATTTTCAATGTAAAATGTAAATTTATTACATTAGTAGTACTACTATCCCCTACTAACTTGTATCCTACAAGTAATAATAAAAATAATAAAGTATCACCTATAATTTCGGTTTATATACATTTACTTGTTTGTTTTGTTGTTGTTTGTTTTTTCACAAGAAAGTTAATTATAGTAAACTTGTGTGCTTACAATTTTAAAATAGGTTTTTTGGGAAAAGTAGCCGCGCCCATTCCCAATGCGGCACTATTGAAGATGAAGTACAACGGTGCTTCGTAGTCCCTTTCGAGTTAATTTCTCAGCTCACCTCCTGCCCTTAGTTTCACGAGTATCAAATATATAACCGTATATTCACCAATTCTGCACACTTTGTCAGACACAAGTTAGCAGAAATTAATTTACTTGCGTGGTCATAAAACAAGGAAGATAGACTAATTATTTATATTATTAAAAACTTATTTTTAAAATGTTATTAGTAAATGAAATAATTAAACATTATTTATCGTCAATTACATTAATGAATGACGTAATTTAGGATAAAGGTCTGGCTCTTTGAGAGTCATCGAAAAGCGTGACGTCAATAATGGATGGTCCCAGCGTGAGCTGGCCACTTACAGTCGTACACAGAAAAAAAAACCTGTATTTGTGTTTCATGCATTACTACACCATTAATCTTATCGCTATTAAAAAATTGGGAAGTAGTTGAGTACACTCTCGCAAAGGTTTCTATCATAGTCAACATTTGTTTGAATCTGGCGGCGTCCCACGAAATTGTGTGGTTGGTCGCCCTGAGGTATCAAGTAGTTATCTTAGCAGGCAATTTGTGGGTCTGATTATTAGGTGTCCTGCAGATGGGGCAGGGTTACTACTTGAATCATCAGTCAAACTGCAGTATAGGCTAGCTCTGAGGGCCATATTATCCGCAGCACCCCTACAGTCGTTAAAAGAGCACCCTACATTAGGGATACAAAGTGCTACTACTACATTCGATGATTAAGCAGGGGTTGCACCCGTCACCCGTTAATTACTTTACCGGTGGCTCCCAAGGACGACAAGAGGCCACTGACACTTGGGCCGTCGCTGAAGCGTATTCTCCTTTACCATTGAGGAGAGCGTCAACCTAAACTGAAAGTATGCTTACAGTACATCCTGGTGCATCCCGGTTATAGAGTGGACAAAGTAGCGCCCTAACAACTAGTTCCAAAAAATTAAGTGCCGATGTTTTTAAATTAAATGAACTCTTTTTTATGGTTGGGTGGATTTTATTTTATTTTTTTACATATATTTTTTGCAAAAATACTAAACGAAAGATAAATATAAAAGTAATATTAAGGATATTTTAGTAAGATTGACATAGCAATGTATTAAATTTGGTTGAAGTAATACAGTGTAACAAATAAATTTGTATTGATTTTAGGACACAAATTGTTTGGAGTGTCTTTTAGAACGAATGACATAATAAATTCACTGTATTACATTATCATTTAAATTATTGATGTGCGTTGTACAAAGCCATCTTCGCATTATGAAAGTACAGCGATTTAGAGGAGTTTGAACATGCAGAGTATACAGTCATCTATGTTAGATTGTTCTTTTGGTGTTTACGTCACAAGATTATTTTTTTCTTGCTTTAGCTTGGAGATAGTAATTTCGTTGGCTTTCTGTTGATGAATCTTATCTTTTTGATGTAACGTGGAAACTTCTATTGTTTAACTTCTGGAGCTGTATTGGTATCCCATAGGGCCTCAGGTGATAGACGAAAAACTCCAGCACGCACATGTCTGCGGGAGTCACGTGATGAAAGCTCACGGTGTAGTCACTGAGGCCGTCCACACCCTACATATGGGGTTGTAAAACACAATCGTTGACTAAAAATAAATTAAACTAACAGCAACAAAAAAAATCATCGGATGTACAAACCGCTACAGTTTGTATCATTTAAGTCAATAGTAGAAACAGAAAAGTGTGTAATGTATTATCTACAATGTAAAATTTTCTTCTGTTAAATACCGAACAATGTTAAACTAAGTCCTCTTAAATAAATCTAATTCACTGTGGCTTAGCTTCCTTAGCTTCTATATTGACCCTAAGGTTAAGTGCATTTTGATACAACACCGCGTCTCACCTTTAGTGGATTATCCCTACTACTGCCTAACACATCAATCAAAATATTGATATCACCAACTCCATTTTTTAAAGGCTTCAGCTGCTCATTTCTTACATTTGTGAAATGAACACATTTTACTTTAGTTAAAAACCTTTCTTTAACAGTACAGCCACTAATTTTTTTTACATATTCGCCGTTTCTAAGTAATTATTTGAGTTCATATCAGGTATAAAAATTTAAAAAAAGTTTTCATTGCCTGTTTAATGGCCTCCATTGATCTGTTATAATACCACCCTTTATACATCCCGTTGATGTGGACCACAGGAGATTCCTGGTGGAACCGGCTGTTGCCTAGAGCGTCATGACTCCTGCCAGCCCTCACACCCAGTCTTTGCATACATATGGCCATACGAATATCCTCTCCACCGCTGTCCTCAGCACAGTTAGCTTGCCTGGCTCCTTCCCCAAACCTTCTCAGCGCCTCCTTGCTTAGAACATACCCAGCTCCACCGCTGTGTAAAAAGAACAGATAAAAATATACTGTAAATTGTATTGTAAATCAGTGTATGAACCAATAACTTCAATTCTGATAAATTAGTTCGATGGTGATTGTTTAGATTAGAATTTCTACATGTAACATAACATTATTACTTTAAGCATTACATAATTTATGTAGCCCTACGCGCTAATTAATTTAATTAGGTCGTGTTTTGATATTCATTTTCCTAACAAAGTTTTGTTTTATTCCTATTGTTTTAATGCAAGCATTACTTTTGAAAACGTATAGCTAATTGACGTTTCCTTCGTTACTTTCAATAATTTACCCTTGATATCCTTGCGTAAGTTCCGGTTTTCTCCAAATGGAAAACAACTGACCAAAATACACCGGCTCGCTGTAGTTTTCACCAGAGAGAAAGTATTTTAAGTTTTCGACGATCAAGTAAATGTCATCGTCTGCCTAGAAAAACAGACAAATTTAAAAATAGCCCAAGCATCCTGACCCTAAACCTAACCGCAAACCTAACTCCAACTCAAGACCTACATCTTACCTTAATCCTAATCTTAAGAAAAGCATTCACTTCAGGATAAAACTAAAACTAAACCCAACACCAACCCCAACCCTAGACATTAGTTTAACCCTAACCCAAACCACAGCCCTTAACTCTTACAGTACCTTTAGCTATGAACCGGGTGGATAATGTCTTACTGGGCAGGGAGGGGGGGGGGGGTAAGTGACAGGGAGGTAAATGATAGGGGGTATATACTCCGGGGCTAACGTCAGCAGGAAGATGCTGTCCGGGGTGTAATTGACAGGGGTTGGGATAGGTAACACTCTGTGCCCGATTTCAACTTTAGCTGGTTTATTATTTTTAAGAAAGTATTTATGAAACGTAACTTAAAAATCAAAATACTTTCTTTAGATACACAAAGGCAATGGCAGTAAATCCAGAAAGAAAAGCAGACGGAAGTAGGAGTCAACGGGCCGTATAGCCATATGAGAGAGTGTGTGTTAGATATATATATATATATGTATATATATATATATATATATATATATATATATATATATATATATATATATATATATATATATATATCACTCTAACACACACTATATATATATATATATATATATATATAGAGAGAGAGAGAGAGAGAGAGAGAGGGGGGGGAGAAACGCTGGTAGAAATTACCCATACCTTCATAAACCAATCAGCGTCATTAAAATGGTTCTCATAAACATATCTGAAACCTTTTGACGTCTTTGCCATCAGATGTTCTCTTCCTTCTGAGACATTGAGGCCGATGGTTGGGAATGTCTTGTTGTCAACAGAACTGTAATGTGTACATGATGTGTACATATCAATGTGTAGCCATACATATGGCTGAATTACATATCACACTATGGCTTTAATATTTTTCTACTAATGTAAGTGGAAATTATTTTAACTTACTTGTATATATCATCGATTTATGTAATCATTAAACTTTTATTTTATACAGAATAATCTGTTGGTATTTATTTATATTAACTTTAGTCTTTAAATTAATTTTGAAACGGATATATATATATATATATATATATATATATATATATATATATATATATATATATATATATATGTACATGGCTACATGTCAGTTTACCTGAAGAAGAGCACGTGACCGTGACGTGCCCAGGTTTCTTTCACAGCCTTAGCCTGGACAGGTAAGTGGCTCGGTGAGGTCATCACCCAAATTAGGACACGGACGTCATTAACTAGTTTCAGAGATATTGAGTCATCGTCTGGTGGTATACATTATTTGTAAACATAAAACAATGCAATTATCTGTTTACATTTTTTTTAAACAATGCATTATCTGTCTCTCTCTTTATATTTATATATATATATATATATATATATATATATATATATATATATATATATATATATATATATATATATATATATATATATATACATATATACTTCACTTGCCCCATTGACCGTCAGGTTTGAAAACGGAACTTTACTACTACTTTAAGTAATAAGTAGAAAAACAATAAAAGAATATGGTAATAAATCAATCTTTTTATTGTTTACTATTATTTTAACTATATATTCTTTTCCCAATATCTATTCAATTAAGTGTAGGTCTTTTGACTTTATGCATAGGATCGTCATCTTTTCCCGTTTGTGTCCAACCCACATGGGGCAGATGAAGTAGAGTTCATTTGTTTCAATTACCTCGGCATACATTGGAATAATGTGGTCAGCACTAAGCCCAAACGCCTTTGTTTTCCTAACTTGAGTCAGATACCCATCAGAGCTGGGTGGACTCCGGGACGTTCTACTGATGTAACCGCTAGACCACGCCGTCCCATAGTTGTATATGATGAAAAGTGGGAATGTTCTATGTGTGCAACCTCGAGTTTTAATCTGGTCTTGAATGATCCAAATATTTTACAGATGAACTACAACATCTGTTTTAGAAGCTAATGTGGCTATGACATATCGATTTCACAATCGCTTGTTTAAGTAAAGACACATTTAACAGTTCAAAATGGTAACTCACCCAAACCTCTATTTCGTAGATTGCTGACACAATAACGCGACTCTTTGTTTGTGTGTTCTGATGTTTCTGATCTTAAAATAGCATCGCTACGTACCTTTTTGCGTGTATTCACTTCCGTGTGCATTTCTGTGACTTTGTTCGTTTACAATACCACTTGATCGATGGTTAAATAAAGTCGTTTCTGTGCCATTGACTGACTTTGTTGTAAAGAATGTGTTGAACGGTCTTGTATTGGTGGTTAAATATAAAGTAAACATTAATCCACTGAATAGGCCAATGATTAAAGCTCTAAACACTGATTGTAATAACATTTTAGTACACACAGATCTTTATCTGGAGTGCCTATAATTTGCTGGCAGTATATATCTGAACGATCACAATGCTTGAGATAAATTGTCTGTATATTATTCAGCATGGTTTTCAACACAAGCCATACCAAGCAAAGTTAGTTTCCTTCAATCTCTGTTTGAAACACAAGTCATTTACGTCAAAAACAGGTATAGGATATTTTTATTGCATCTCAAATTAAAGTCCTTCTCTACATCTCAAGTGCAAAACATGTCCTAGGTTTTTGTCGTTTCAATACATATGCTTTAAGATCAATAAACATGCGTCTAAGCATGAATTCTCACATATGTATGTCACATTGATTGGGTGACAAAATAAAGCGGGAGTGATCTCCCCTAAACTATAAAGTATATTTTTACATAACAGTAGGGGTATGGCTTTTCCAGGGCTATAGCAATGTTTTTATTGATTTTTTTTTAATACTTAAATTTGTAAGCAGAATAAAATTGCGTAGATAAACGAATTGCGTACCAAATGAAACAGTTTTCAGTATAATAGATAGAAAAATCTATATATACCTATATTGATACATAAATCAAAAGCAGGTCTGTGTGCCTTGTGTGGAAATCGAAACGTCTAAACTGATCGAGTTCACTTTTACCAAACTGCTGCATTATATTATTGGGAGTGTTTGCGAGTACTTTCTGGCTAAATTCAGTGAAATTTCAAATTGTTTTTAATTTTTCCAAAATTGTATGTGTCATATAAGCGACTGCATTTCCGCCATTATATTTTGCATGCTTATATTTGTGTTTGTTTTTATTTTTGTTTTTTTTTTGTTTGTTTTTATGTTTGTTTTTATTTTTGTGTTTGTGTCTATGTTTTTATTTTTGTTTATGTTATTGTGATTGGGTTTGTCATTGAGGTAGTGATAGGCATTGGTTTATGTTTTTATTTATGTTATCGGATGATATTGTGGGGAAGATTATGTTTTATTTTAGTGTTTAAGTTTGTGTATATGTGGTTGCTTTTTTATATGTAGAAGTGCTGAGAAGGGCGAGTGTTCATGGCCAAGTCTATGTTCGTTTTTGTATATATTTGTAGTTGTGTTTGGTTGTGGTCAAGGTTACTATTACAGTTGGGTTAAAGGTTAAGGGTTAAATCTTGTATATATATTGGCACATTTCGTTATTTTTCATGTAGATATTAAATGGAAATTTAATATATTCCAAAAGACCCTGGCAGCGCCGTTTTTCTCAAACGTAAGTGCAAAGCCTAGCCGAGAAGGCTAGTTAGGCTATAGACCTATATCAGCCCAGATCGAATCAGGCACGTCTTTTGAATTGTAATTTTAGCTCATCACGGTCGGATGACCTGCAGCTACAGAGCCCAATGCTCAATAGTAAGCACTATGGCGCTACATTCGTATTCTAGGGCGCCATACAATCGGGACACAGTGGCACACGAGATTTGATGATTAAACTGAACCAGAGAACGTACACCTGCAACGCTCATGGGTGGTCGCTGAGGTGTCCTGTACCTCACTATTACTGAGGGTGATTAACGTACACTCAAGGCTTTCAAACAGTACGCCATTGTGCATCTGAGCTGTAGTATAAGCAAACCCTTGCCCCAACAGCTACGATCCAACACAAATAGCTCCTGCTTTGTTTATATTTAAATAACACAGTAGAAAATAAGATCTTTTGTCTAAACATATACGATTGGTTACACATGGATGATATAATCCTCTTAAAATAATGCGTCCGTTGTTCTATGTGTCCTTTATGCAATACTACACCTTTCATCAGATCTCATGATATTTTGAAAAGTTGTTGAGAATACTCGTGTAAAGTAAAGGTATTTAAAACATCATATAGCGACCCATGCTTTTCTTTTTAGTTTTTAAATAGTAGTGAATAATTTTATATTTAAAGAAAGCCATTTTTCCCAAAGTTTAGTGCATTATTATATAAAAGTTTTTTTTATAAAAACGTAACTTTTTAAATTATGAATTAGATATATTGATTATGAGAAAAACTTACACAAATCTGCATTTTGTCTGTACTTATTTATTAGTATTATTGAACAAAAAGTAAAATCGATCGTGCGACATAGGCGGCTAGGCTCTAAAGAAACATTTATAACAAAATCCCCTTCACGAGTTTTAACACAAACTAGCGGTGTCAATCAATAGTTTTACCGTCGTGCGTTCAACACTTAACTGGTCAACGTGAAATGCCTTAAATCTCGATTGATAAACTTATCGTCTAAAATATTTTATGGGGTTTGATAGTGCTGTAATATTATAACATGGACTGTGCTCGAGTTTAAGCAAAAATATGTTTACCTACTTGAATTTATACTAATGTAAGTTGGTCTTTTGTTGTTCTCATTAGGCTCATCTAATGAATTTTTCTACTACGTTAATATTTTTGAAAAAAAAATGTGTACTACTTTTATTTAATTATTTAAATCTATTTGGCGTAATATGAATTTTCTTCAAAAACATGTTTTTAAAATAAATTTATTTCGGCATCATATTATTAAATTTTCACGAAAAAAACAATGGAATTCATTTATTACAAAATATTTTATATTTTTTTATTGTAATTTAAATAAACTAGGAGTGATCTCCCCTAAACTATCTCGAATATTCTTATATAAAACTTCGAGTGATGGCAACTCGGGATTTAGACATTATTGCTAATCCATTTTTAATTACTAAAACTTTTAAAAATTGAATAGAATCTCGTAGAAAAAGAATTGCGCACCATGTTAACGCAAATCAAATGTGTTTCATAGTGCAGAATATTATGAGTACTTTATCAATTCACATGCGTTTTCGAGAAATCGGAAATAGCGTAAATTACTACTTCCGGTCAACGGAAATTACTCAAAATTTTTCAGAAGGCAGAGAATTAGATTTTTTACCCATATGTGAAATTTCATTTATCTATCTGAAATATTGAAAGTAGAAAAAGTTCCCACTTCCGTTTATCGGAAATCGATGAAAAGTTGATACTCATCTGCATATTCGATACAATATTTATATATGAAATTTCATCAACCTAGCTTTAACGGTACTCAAGTTAGCGTACTTATCCACACACACATACACATACACATACGCACAGAGAGAGAGAGAGAGAGAGAGAGAGAGAGAGAGAGAGAGAGAGAGACATACGGATAACACTGCAAAATTATGTTTTTCCGACTCAGGGAGGTGTAAAATGTCGAGATTTGCAAAAAATCACGATTTTTTTTTCACTATTATAATACTTACTTTTTACTTCGTATACAAGAAAGTAAAAAAGATTCACGATAAAAACAAATAAAATTGAAAAAACTATAGGTACGACAAAAGGTTATTCAATTTGAAAGAATTTGAACTGTTTTTATATTATTTTTTTGTAATGGTGAAAATAAACAATTTTAAAATGGATAACAAAAAAAAGACAAAAAAATTCAGAAAGAATATGAGAAAGAGTGAATCAACTTTCTTTATTATTTTGTAATTATTCTTTGCGTATTTCGGATACTAAATTGCAATCCTAAAGAGTAAAACGACTTTGATAACAGAGTCATGATTGTATATTACTTAATATACAACATCCATCAGAAAGAAAAACAGCATAGATCTAATAACCCGTTCATGCCAGTGATTTGTGTGTGTTTAATGAGATATTATATAGGCTACCCTTTTACCCTCGTTCTGTCCAGAGGCGTAGCGACCCATTCTGGCGCCCGCGGCGAACTATCAACTTTGCGCCCCCCCCCCCTCATTTATATACTTTTTCGCAATAGTAAAAAAGCCCCCCCCCCCCCCGAATTGTATAGTTATTCGCATTGGCGTGAACCCCATCCCCCCCCTCCCCACTCCCTTTAACGGTTTTATGTTGGTGTCAAACAACTAATGTAGAAAACAGTACATTAACTCCGTAAAGCTAAGTAACAGTTCATTTGACTTTTTCCCAACCCCTTTCGGCGTCCCCTTTGGGTCGGCGCCCGGGGCGACCATCCTACCCGCCCACCCCTAGCTACGCCTCTCATTCTGTCTATTGCTGTTTCTAGAGTTTCAGTCTTCAAATACTTAAGTTATTTCACTTGCGTTTGAAAACTCAGCAGTTTTGCTAATTAACTTTGGAAATGTTCTTACTGATTCTAACTTTGATAAAAATGTTTTGTTATTTAATTCCTGGAGTTGTATAGGTATCCCATAGGGCCGCAGGTGATAGATAAAAAACTCCAGCATGTACATGTCTGCGGGAGTCACGTGATGAAAGCTCACTGTGTAGTCGCTGAGGCCGTCCACACCCTAAAGATTCGATTTGAAAACAAACTATATTTATAGCATGCTTAAAAAATTAATATTGTATCAAATTCATACAAGCAGTGTTTATTTCTACCTTCTCTCTGAGGAGGGAGTGCATTACCCTCCCCCCCATCTCACCTAATATACTTTAACACGTGTCCATCGATCCACTCACCTCTTGAAGTTTCAAATGCCCCTTCCCTCTCCCCATCCCCCCTCCCGTAGAAAAAATGTCTTAAACCCTTTAATCATGTGCTTTTAAAAAATCAGTACAATAAACTAAACCGCAGTTCTGCACATTCAATAATACTGGGAATTTTTTGAGACCAAAGAATTCCTTCCTCAATACCTTCCTGACTGCCTCGATTGATCTGTTATAATACCACCATCTATATAACCCGTTGATGTGGACTGCAGGAGTTTCCTGGTGGAACCGGCTGTTGCCTAAGGCGTCATGATTCCTGCCAGCCCGTACTACAAGCTTCTCCAGACACAGGGCCATCCGAATATCCTCTCCACCGTAGTCCCCAGCACAGTTAGCTTGCCTGGCTCCTTCCCCAAACCTTCTCAGCGCCTCCTTGCTTAGAACATACCCAGCTCCACCGCTGTGTGAAACGAGATAAATATTAGCAAGGTAAAAATCTCAAGAGATGATGTTTATATATTGCAGATAATTAGAAAGATTATGGTCTTTGATAACATTAATCACCAAAACCAACAGGGTTTCAAATGGGATACCACAAATCTTGAGATTTCAATGATACTTTCCTCAGAGTAGTCGGATTAGTAGAGCATACTACTGGTATCCCGAAAGTCTCGAGTTCAAATCCAGGGTCTTATCTTTACACCTTCTATTAGTCATCGAAGCTCATATATGTACTTTATAGGCTTAGGAAGGACCAAACAATCTCTTCATATGACGAGGTAATTGAAACTGGTGACTCAACGACATTGTAAGCACTAGCCTTTAATACGTTTTAATACTTCACCATGGAAATACTTGGTCAAGTCCCGGCTTAGACCAAATTAAGAACAGCTGGCCAAAATACACGGGCTCACTGTAGTTTTCCCCCGAGAGAAAATATTTTAAGTTTTCGATGATCAGGTAAGTGTCGTCGTCAGCCTGAAAATACACGAAATAGTTTTTTAGATGAGACATAACTTCTGCCAAAACCTTAATATTTATTGTAGTACTGGCTACCCGTTCCGCGTGTAGCTGCAAGCTGGGATATTTAAGCGATAACAGTGCCGGCGCTATATTGAATCTTTTGTGTTGGGCCGCGGGTTTGTTCACTCTCACATTCAGACACCCCTGGGCATGCTGTATGAGCGCCTTAAATGGACGTTAATCACCGTTAGTAATAGTAAAGTAAGACGCGCCTGATTCGATTAAGTCAACGATTATTGTAACCGATTGTATCCTTCGTGTAGGGGGAACTCGGGGCGCTCCGTTGAATCAAGTAGTACCCCTGACCCCCCCCCCTCCATATGCAGGACACCCAATCAACGGATACAAAATGTAAGATAGTCCCTCGAGAACTCTGGGAGCCAAACTGCCTCTGACTTTTATTTTTAATACCGTAGTATTTAGAGAAAAATTTAACCCTGTCGGAGAGCCGCATTTCCGAAATTTTCTTTTTGCTGTAACCTTCTCGGGGTTTATTTCATTAACTCCTGAAAGTTTGATGGCGATCGGATGAAAGGTGTATTGGTGTATAAAGGACAAATGGACACACGCATTTATATATAACTTAACTACTTTCAATAAACTAAACATAAATACAAAGAGATAGAGAGAGACAGACAGAGAGACAGAAAGGTGGAGATTATTCCAACCTTCACGAACCAATCAGCATCATTGAAATGGTTCTCATAAATGTATCTAAAAGCTTTCATCGTCTTTGCTGTTAGATGTTCTCTTCCTTCTGAGACATTCAGGCCAATAGCTGGGAATGTCTTGTTGTCAATAGAACTGGGAGGTAATAAGTTAAGTGAAATGAATCCATTCATAATATTTACGCTATTTTATCTATCCATTCAATAGTGACTTTACTTTGTAAAGTATAGATTAGTATATTCAATAACAGATAACTAGCTAGACGCGATCATAGTAACAGTCTCGTGACAAAATACCAAAATACAATAGTCATACGCCGAGCAGAGCGAGATACATTTTCTCACTTTTTATATTGTGGAGGAGCGAACGGCGTGGCTAAAAGATAGCGCGTTTTGCTGCTTTCCCGAATGTCGGATCTCGGATCGGACTTATAACTGTAGTTCACCCAACCCTGATGGGTACCTGATTTATGTTGGGAATATTAAATGCAGCTGACCACAATAGTCCTGTATAATCATAAGTTAAGACTTCTTAAGTCTTAACTTTACCTATATCACGGAGATGATATCAAAACAGATGATAGTTCATGTTTTGTTAATTAAAAGCACAACACATTTAACATTAAAACACAATTAGTAGGTATTGATTGCATTACTAAATGGGGTTACTAAATGAAATTCAATCACAGTCAATGGAAATTATTTTCTTTTTAGTGTATTTTATTTATACTACCTGTCCGTTTACCTGAAGTAGAGCACCAGCTGACCGTGACGTGCCCAGGTGTCTTTCACAGCCCTGGCCTGGACAGGTAAGTGGTCAGGTGACGTCATCACCCAAATGAGAACTCGAACATCATCAACAAGTTTTCGACGGATTGAATCTTCGTCTGTTGTTAAAATAAATTTTCGATATTATACTTAAATCAAATTGAAAAAAGTAAATATCGAAATAGCAATACGTCTTACACTGATTAATTATATTACTATAATCTAAATTTAGGTTAAATTAAAAATATCTTTTTTCTTCTAAATATCACAAAGTACAATAAAATTTGATGTGATGAAGAAAGTGATTTTCCTATTATTTTATAACTGTAAAAACCTGACACGTATTATAATTGAAGCAATTTCGAAGTTGTTATGGTTGTCTATTGGTGGAGCTCCTCCACTAGACAACAAGAAAACATCTTCGAAATTTTTAGCCAAAAATCTTACTGGCTGTATGGGCTCGGCTTATCTCCCATTTGAAATCTTCATTTTCATAAAAAAAACGGCCAATAACCACAACCAGACTTACAGTATGTTGTATAAATGTAAAGGCAGATGTAAAACTTATGTTAACTCTACCAATCATTCTCGTCACTTGTCTCAATAGCAGGCAACTCAATACCTGTATGAAGAACCCTAGGAATGGAGTCACTACTTACCCTTTTGATTGACTTCACCATAGTCCGCTTCTGTTGGATTCAGATGGTTTTCAATACCATGCGAGCTCTCTCTAGATGAAGCCGTTCCTGTATCCTTGGCTGAACTTTGTGTAAACAATACACTTAACGATTGAGTGTTGGTGGATGAATACAAAGTAAATATCAATCCAATAAGGACTCCGATTGCTAAGACTCTAAGCGTAGTATTTGATAATATTTTGCTACACATATTTATTGAGCAAGAATGATCATGTATTGCATAAAAAAATTTAAAACTCCGAATAAAGACCATATATCATACGAAATCTACAAATGCTACATTGTCATCTTATTACACAACTTTAAAGTTTTCCATTCGACACAGCTAACACGCAGTGATGAACGTTCTTTCTATCGAAAACCGAAAAATCTTTTAGTTTGTAACACATGTCATTAACGTTGAAAGGTGATTGATAATTTTACGGCATTTCATCAGAAAGTCTAGCCCAAAACTTTACTCTCACCATATAAGTCTGAACGTGTTGAACAAAAACCAAGTATAATCATAGAATCAAAAACATCTTTATGTTTCTTTAGTTAGTTGTTACCGTGGTCGTACCAATGTGTGTTGATAAAGAAGATCATTTAAAGACTATAAGTAAAGAATGTCTGTATTAAAATCTACTGTAATAAATTGGTCGACAACACGTTCTTCTCAAATGAGCCATAATGTCAATATTTTAACAACCAATAAAAGTGACAAAATCGTTGTCATTCATTGTATTTGCTTTATTGATTTTACTTCATTAAAACTCTTTTGTAAACGATATCACACTTTGAAAATCTCGATTATAACTTACGTTAAAATAAGTTTTGATCAGTTTTCTTTCCAATCGATATTTGACTCGCCCCCCCCCCCCTTAATGGAAAAATACAACATGTGCTAGACTGTTACTAATCGTTTTTCGTATTAATTGCCCTACATCATGATCAAATACATGAGAATCTACACATGTGTTGTTATACCTTAATACTGGTTATTAAATTATAAATAGCTTTCTATGATAGATGTTTATCAAACTGTACCAATATCCAAATCCTAAACTTGGTCGTACACACCTGGTATAATCTAAACATGAAAATAAGAATAAAGAAACAAGTCAAATCTAAGTCATACTAGAACATGTGAATATAATGTATGGTCTGATTTTCATCTGATTTTAAACCCAAATTCCCTAATATACGAATTACATAGAAAAATTATCCTTGTCACGTTGAAAATTTGGTTTACCATCACTGCGCCACTTACCACTTCAGCCACCAACTTTTCTTTAAATTTCTCTGAATAACTAGTAGTTATCTGAACAAGCGCAGTCTTCGTAAACTTTGAAGGTCCTACGTGACATAATCTTTGTAGCATAATGTAGCACAGGCGTAGGTTTCTTTTCCCTATACACCTTAGGCCTTTCTGTTATTGGATATTTTGTCCACGTTACTTTGTTCATGTTTTGTTTTTAGATAGTTGTCTTTTCAGTTTGATCTTTGTCTTATATTATTTTGTTGGAGCATATTGTGCGTGGAAATGTACTGTCTGGTATAATTGTGTTGGTGCAGATATTCCCCCCCCCCCCCGGAATGTCCTGTTTGTGTTATATTTTGTATATGGACATTTCCTTTGTTAATTTATTATTGTCTGTGTATGCTATATCTCGGTATATTTTTCAGTACATATTTTATCTGTGTATGCTTTGAAGCTTTTTCATGTTAACAAGGCTGTATTTTAATTTTATTTATAAAAATATCTGAAGGTAAGATATTAAAATAAATCATGCTAATCCGTTTAATTTTCATGGTTGTGATTAGCAACAGAGTATAAAAAGCGTTTATAAAAAATAGTTGCCTATTCTCATCCGAAAAAAAAATGAAAATGTATAGGTGTTTGGATGGGTCAGAATAGGCTTATATGACGCACTCACCCCAAACCGGCATCATTATTAATGCTGAAAACGTAACCGGCATCATTATTAAAACCAAACCTCAACTTCAAGATACCGCTAAAGGCATCATAGCTATAGTTTTAGAATAGATGTTATTGATCATGGATTGTAACGTTATATTTGTATCGGTTGGAGAACTCAGGTGGGATTCAGCGGCAAAATTAGGAGTATGAATTTTTTGGGGTGAAACATTTTGAATCAGTATCGTCCAGTAACTGAACGGATCAATACGGGAGACTCATTAAGGAGCAATCATTTCTAGAAACTTCCGATTTGACGTGGATTTTTTATCATATATTTAATTTGGTTAGAAAATACGTCGGATATTTTAAAACCAAAGTCACATAGTATGTTGTACCTGTCCCTGTAGATGTTAATGCCATATACACAGATCAAATTATTTTAAAATGTCGGTCCAATCATAAAGTAAAAAAAAAACCATCACACATGGCAATATATTATTAATTTTATAAGCAGATGATTTTTTAAAACAGCTGGGCTCTCATGGGCACAGATTAGAGGAGCAGCCCAAAACCGGTTCCGCTGGAGATGTGTGTTTGCAGCCCTTTGCTCCCCAGGGGCCATAAAGGAGTGATGATGATGATGATGATGATTTTTTAAATATTTTAGTTGTATACGTTTCGATTCACAAGAATTTTTTGGGAAACTAACATCAATCGAACACAGCGGCATTAGTTTCGGCGTTAAACTCTTGAAATTCTCTAGATGGCTGTAACATGGAGGTAAAAGTCTTGTTGTTCAACTTCTGAAGTTGTATTGGTATCCCATAGGGCCGCAGGTGATAGACGAAAAACTCCAGCACATACATGTCTGCGGGAGTCACGTGATGAAAGCTCACGGTGTAGTCGCTGAGGCCGTCCACGCCCTAAATAAAGGATATAAATTAATACATTGATGAAACAAACAGGCAAGTCGAAAAATAAACAAATGTAGAACCTCAAAACTTCAATATGATATCGTCTTTTATCAATTTTTCAAAAATTAGAAAAGACAGTAGCGGCGACAGTATTCCAAATATTATTTCTCCACAGTTTAAGATCCTTTATAAAAATCCTTTTCAATATACAATTTAAATAACGGTTAGCTGCGATAATAATTTGGGTTAAATTTGAACATATGTCTCGTCTGTAATGTTAAACGAGCTATGTTCAAGTGTTATGATGTTTAAACATTGCAAAACAATGCTGTATTCAGCATGGAAAATTTAAGTAATTTATTTAAGTCAAACTCTTAATTGGGAATATATTTTTCTTTACCTTTTTAATCTCCTCCACGACTTTCTTATTGTAAAAATCGTTATATAACCCGTTGATGTGGACTGTAGGAGATTCCTGGTGGAACCGGCTGTTGCCTTGAGCGTCATGACTCCTGCCAGCCCGCACGCCAAGCGTCTCTAAACATACGGCTAGACGGATGTCCTCGCTGCCAGTGTCCTCGGTACAGTTAACTCGCCTGGCTCCTTCCCCAAACCTTCTCAGTGCCTCCTTGCTTAGAACATACCCAGCTCCACCGCTGTTGGAAACAAGATGAATACAAGTAACGTAACAATTCCTTAAATTCTATACAAATTGTAACTTTTCTAAAGTACTGTCTGTCTATTTATTTTTTATAACACTATTATTTTTAATTACTGGCTTATATTGTGTTAAGCTTATACTGTGTTAAGCTTTATTATGTTTGGCATAGACATGTACTCTCGTTAACATACCCTTGTATCTGACCATTTCTTCAGCCTGTCTTTCCGTGAGCCTACCACACAAATTGGCCAAAACGGGTTAGATTTTCTTCTTTGTGAGGACAATTTATAAATTTGTGTCGAATGTGTTTGTTATTTTTAATGGCTCACTTACAATAACAAGAGGCGTAGCGATCCATTGAAGCGCACGGGGCGAACTGTCAGTTTTATTATATTTATTCATGTCAGTGAAAAAGAACACCACCCCTCCTCCGTTTAAAAGGTTGATGGCGCTTCCCCCCCCCCCCCCAGTCACTAGTTTTTTTGCTTTTGATATTATACAGATATTAATTTCCTCCTTAGAGCAATGTTTGCTTCTTTTCATTTTAATAAAATTATTTATATGTACTGGTTTATTATGTCCGGGGATCAATGTCAAATTTTTTACGACAGGATACAATTTGTAATACACTTTTGTTAACTGCAATGATTACATATTTGGTAGTTTTAACTAAACTACTTCACCTATGAAACACTATCTTATTATCAGCTTTTGGCCATATTGCGAACGACTGACCAAAATACACCGGCTCACTGTAGTTTTCCCCGGACAGAAAATATTTTAGATTTTCCATGATCAGATAAGTGTCATCGTCAACCTAAAGAAACGAAATAAAATTTGAGGCGTTAGCTTAAAAACAAAAAAAAACAAATTAAATAAGCTCAAAACAAAACCAATACATTTTTACAAGGGTTATTTTGTAATAATTTTTTAAAGTGCCGTCCGCATCTAACACACTGAAGTCATTCACTTACCGATGACAATTGATAATACAATTCATAATACAATGTGACATAAAATATGGCATCTTTAGATGATTAATTATTTTTTTTTAATTAATTAAGTACTAATGTTTTATCACGCTATTGCCAAAACTACTCAGTTTCAATTTGGAATGCAATTCGATTGTAATAAAATTTAAAAGTTTTAACAAAAAAAAATTTAATTTTTTTTATAAAATAAAAACTTTCATAAATAAAAAGTTTCATATATTTTACACTTAAAAAGGTTAATAAAAATGTTTTCTTTAATTATAAAACATAATATTAATATAATACATAATATTAACAATTAATAATATGGTAATGTAAATAGTTTTGGCTTATTAAATATTTAAAGGAAATCATTTTATTTTCTTCATTTTAGTGAACATCGTAAATTTTTTTTTTTTTTTTTATTATAAACGTCTTTTATTTTTTTAATTTTAAAATATATTTTTCATAAAATGCATTACTATATAAACTGCAACATGTTTCGTATTTTTATCGGGCAGTACCTACAACATATAAATAGAAAGAGAAAAGCACCAGAAAGTTTGAGAAATAAGATAAAAAGTGAGAAAGAGAAACTGGTAGAAAGAGACCGATGGGAGAGCGAGAGAGAGAGAGAGAGAGAGAGAGAGAGAGAGAGAGAGAGAGAGAGAGCAACAGAGTAAGAGCTGATGAATATCAAATAGATGTTACACCTGTTGTTTGTATTTTTAACAACAATCATACCTTCATGAACCAATTGGCGTCACTGAAATGGTTCTCATAAATGTATCTAAAAGCTTTCATCGTCTTTGCTGTTAGATGACCTCTTCCTTCTGAGACATTCAGGCCAATAGCTGGGAATGTCTTGTTGTCAATCGAACTGTAAGATAAGTAGGTAAGTTAAAGAATCCATTCTTTACATTTATGCTCATTGAATTGTGCCTTCTGTAGGTACGTTAGTTGTTTTAAAAATCTACTTAATTGCAGACTGACTAATTCCTTTTGAATTATCCTATGTTAACACTGTTACAAAAACAGTACTGTGACTTTGTAATCATTTCTTTTAAACAGCGTAGTAGAGTGAAGACATTGTTATCGTTCACATTTTCTTTTTTGTATATAACCTTATATCGTCCAGCTGTTTATTAGGAAGAAAGCTATACAAAACATGTCACGTCGTTCTTTTAGATTATCTTTCAGTTTATATAACTACCTGCCAGTTTACCTGAAGTAAAGCACCAGCTGACCGTGACGTGCCCAGGTGTCTTTCACAGCCTTTGCCTGGACAGGTAAGTGGCTAGGTGATGTCATCACCCATACTAGAACGCGAACATCATCAGCAAGTTTACGAGAAGTTGATTCATCTTCTGTTGTTAAAATATATTTTTAAAAATTCCCGATTCAATTATGAGAAATTAGCTACCCTGTATCAATAAGTCAAACATTTTCAAAGGGTTTAGAAAAAAAAGTATGATTTGAATGTATTAATTTTAAGACCACGAAGTGCAATAAGTGGTGAACGTTTATTTCTATGTGTATGTTCATTTATGTGTATGCTTGTAGTTGTGATTGGTTGTTATTAGGGTTAGGTTTAGAGTTAGTTTATAGTTATATACTAGACTACCCGCCATTCGTTGAATAACTGTGGGTTTCGGGGGTCATCCATCAAAAAACATCACGTCTGTCACTCAGAGGCATAGCAACCCTTCCCGGAGCCCGGGGACAAACTTTTCGATTTGAACCCCCCCCCAAACTTTTGATGTGCACCCCCCCTCAAGATTTCGATTTGAACCCCCCCCCCCCCACTCAAACTTTCGATTTGCACCCCCCTCAACCTTTCAATTTATTTTTCCAACCCATTTTGGCGCCCCCTAAGGTCGGCGCCCGGGGACATATGTCCCCCCCCCCCTCCTCCTTTTACGCTACTGCAGTGTCACTTATCGTCACAAAAAACAGACCCCACATTCAAAAATATGTTTTTTATCTTTTAAAAACACCCAAAACACCGATTTCGGACTATCCCTTCATATACTGACGTCACAGGTGACCTACTCAACTCTACTTCACCTGCCCAGTGTCCCGCCAAGTCTCAGACAACATGTTTTTATCGTTTAAAAAACGAGTCCAGCCGAGCATGTCTCTGACCACACTTTCCTTTCATATGCTTAGGACAAAGAAACAGATGAACTCTACTCCACCTGCCCTGTATCCTGCCAAGTTCAGATAGGCAACTTTATCATTCGCATCTAAAAAACAATTGAAAAAAAAAATATCATTGACGTATTGGTCTAGAACCTGTGCCACCCGCATGAGAGCCGATTACACTACCAACTTAACTGTTTACTCGTGGCGTCACAAGTGAATTTTTATACTATACTTTGAGTCTCCTTATGCAACTTGATTTACGCGCATAGATCTAGATCTAAGTCTAGTAGTAGTAACTTTCAAATTAAATTTTATCTTAAATTAGCCAAACAAATATTTTTATATAAAATAAAGGTCTGAAATTATCTAGATCTAGATAGAATTATCTAGATCTAGATTCTACTACTCGTTTGCTTAAGTCTTAACTTTAGTTTTTCTTGCTAGATCTAGAATCTAGATTTTCTAGATCTAATCATTAGCTAATAGCTACGCTAATAGGCCCGGGAGCGAGCATTTCAAAATTACTATATTCCAAACAAAGATTTATATAAAATAATAAAGGTCTAAAATAGTTTAGTATATAGAAAATCATTATTAACTAAATCTAGATAGAATTATCTATATTATAGATCTACGACTGAGCTATATTTAGAATTTACGTTTATAATTTAGCAAAATTAGCGGTATCGAAGCCGCGTATGAATCATAAGCTACGCAAATAGGCCCGGATCCAGCATTTCAAAATTTGCATAGTCGAAACAAAGATTTATACAAAATAATAAAGGTCTAAAATATTTTAGTATATAGAAACTCATTATTATCAACATCTAGATAGAATTATCTATATTCTTGATCTACGACTGGTTTGCTTAAGTCTCGTTTTTTTTTTTTGGATTGTATTTATAACTAATAAATCTTTGATTTGACCTAGATTCTAGATCTAGATCTAGATCTATAAATAACTTTCTTGGACAGATTGTAGATTTAGAGAAATTTATCGTAAAACTAAATGAAAAAGACAGTTGAAAATTGATATAAGTGTTGGAACGTAATAAATACAGCAAACGGACGTATTGTTAAAGTTAAAGCCGACAGAAAATTAGCTTTAGAACGCGTTAAACATTGGAATGGGAACACAATCTTCTTCGATAGGCCGCCATTATGGATGTAAAAAAATAAACACATCATGTGACGTCACTGTTTCCGTCGAGTCTAGAGGTTTTTGTTATCTTTTTAAAAAAAAAAAGTGGTTAATCTACCTATGAATAAATCAATAAATTAATTAACGTCTTTAAATAAATGTGTGATTAACAGTCTGTCTTAAAACAAAAAATTTTCTCTACCTACATACTATTTCACAGCTGTCCACGATGAATAGAAGTATTCACAATACTCGATCAGCCAAACAAAAAAACAAACAAACAAAAAAATAAATATTCAAACATGTAAACAAACTTGACTTTTAGTAGTATATAGATAATTTCTATATTTGCCTAAAGACATTAATTGGAAATTTAGTATATTCCAAAAACCTGGGCCGCACCGGGTATTTAATGCTTAATCTTAATAATCAAACAACTCTCGGACCTTTACAGATAAGTTTTTCACAAAAGCCAGTGCAGAGCCTAGCCGGGACGGCTAGTATTTAAAGAAAACCGAGGAGTTTGAATTAATTTATTTACTTATGGCCTCCAGTAATATGTAATATTAAATTAGAAGACAATACAGTTTTCACACATTTTAGAAGATTAGTTGGGTATAATTTTGAGTATTAGTAAGGGCAGTTGTAACAGCTCTAAACTCAACCCAAACCTCCACTTCACAGGTTTCTAGCATGATAACCCCACTCAATGCGTGTGTTTTATGACGTTTCTAAACTAAAAACAGAATACATACGTACCATTCTGCTTGAATTCACCTTCGTGTGCATTTCTGTGATTCTGGTCGTTTACAATACCACTTGATCGATCGTTAAACAAAGTCGTTTCTGTGCGATTGATTGACTTTGTTGCAAAGAATGTGTTGAACAGCCTTGTGTTGGTAGTTGTATACAAAGTAAATATTAATCCACTGAATATGCCAATGACTAATACTCTAAACATTGATTGTAATATCATTTTGCTGCACTATTTTCAATAACGTTTGCCTTGAGCTTTTAGAAAAAGACAACAAATCTAGAATAGTTTTATGTACAAAATATACAAACGGTAAATTGTTAGTTGATTACGAAATATTTCAGTGGTTAAAACTACACAGCTACTACCAACCGAAGCACGTCTAATTTTTTTCCAATACATAAGATTGTATTCTGTAGATTCGTGTGCAATACGTGTCACAAACGCTAACAGAAGGTGTTTGATCGTTTAAGTGTATCCCATCTTAAAGTCTAGCCCAGCGTCTCAGTTTAGAATGAAGACTACATAGCTTGTGATGTACAAATACAATCAATATTAAAACGGCGTCTACTCATCAGATTTGAACACTGAAATGTGTTACGAAAACGAATTATGTTAATTAATGAAAGCAAACAGTAAACATATGATAATTTACTGACTCAGCAAATGTCTGTATGTTGTTAAAACATTTTGTTCTCAATGAAGGAGTTTAGATTAACATTTTTAAAATTGTCTACATTGTTTTGAATTCCCGTTCAATAAAGTATGGATTTTACATCATACAAAATCTTGCCAAAGATGATGAAATGATAGCTTTTGAAGGGGGAAGTTGGTTTTATACTATTATTTTAGAAAATCGATTTAATAAAATGTTCGCGTTTTGTACATATCTCCTTTATAGCACATCGATATAATTTATCCAAGTGAAAACTCGTAACAACGTTCTGTGTACTGTGATAAAGGTAGAGAGTGGAGCTGTTGTAATGTAGGCGTTCTATTTCCCAGATGTGTTATAAGTAGACACTGGGTTTACTTACAACGACTTCTTTAAATATTATTCCTTGTAATTTACTTTGATAAATATTTCAATAATTTATTGAAACAAAACTCATTTTTGTAATGATTTCATTGTATAGCATTTGTTCCCATTTTTGTTTATCTTACAATAAAATTAACAAACCAATTTGTAAAAAGCCAACGTACCTCCTTTTTCAACAGCAAAGTATTTTTATTTATTTTATTTTATTTATTCTTTCTTCAATTCATTAACAAATATTTAGTATACCTTTAAAAATGAGAAAGGGGACTTGCACTTACCAACAGGAAGATAACTGCTGTTTTCCACTTATATAACAAGTTTTGTAGTATGGTAGTTTTTAAAATCGACTCATTTCATACGATAAACATTTTTAGTGTTTTCTTCTGTGTTTAAAACTTCACAAATTACAATAGGATGAGGTCGAACCCATAAGCCCTTGTGCCTTTTTCGATAAGTGAAACACGCTAAACAACTTCAGCAGAGTAAGGTGCTAGTTTCACTTTTTTTTTACGTTCATAATTCTTGCAATCATATTTTTTACTTTACACGTGAATCAAGTTTCTTGTTTCGACCATTGAAACAGGTCACCCAAAAATCGCAATCAGATCTCTCATCAAAACATAGATTGTAGAGAAGATGAATACAAAGTTTATTAGACACCAATCTGATGGCAAAGTCAAGGCAAACTGGCGTAAACCTAAGGGTATTGACAGCAAAGTGAGAAGGAAGTTTAAGGGTTAATACGAAATGGCAACCATCGTTTATGGTACATGGAAGAAATGCAAGCACCGCTGTCCAGATGGCTTCGAAGAGTTTTTGGTTCATAATGTTAGGGAGCTGGACGAATTGTTGATACAAAACCGCATAAGAAGCGTAAAGATGTCGTTGAGCGTGCCCAGCAGCTAGCTATTAAAGTGACAAATCCACATGCTCAGATAAGGATGAATAAACTGGCAGCTTGGTTAAATAAATAAACAAAAATATATTTTTAAATAATCAACTCAACCAATTTTTCTATAATTTTATATTTTTAAAAACTTTATTTGAAACATACATATCTATCACACACAATAAACAAACATATTAAACATTCAGACTATTAATACCCAGTCATAGAATGTATATTTCCTAGAATGTATATTTATAAAGCTACACGACAGTTGTTTTGTTATTCAAGATTTGTAATTCTGACATAATTCCGTACGGCCTCAAGTGGTAGACAAAAAACTCCAGTGCGTACATATGTGGTGGACTCACATAATGGAAGCTCACAGCATAGTCACTGATGCTCTCGATACCCTACAGAGAAAACAAATGTTACACATTTAGCTTAGGTTGGGTACTACATTACCAGAGTATGGTGGCTGTCCATAACAGAAGAAATTATAAATGTGTTTAAAGGATGTTGGATTGTATTTATCTTTGTCCACAAAGCATGCAATCACACTTCACGTGAGTAACGATATAAACAGATCAACTCTACTTCATTCACCAGATGACTGAAATAAAATCCATAATATAATTTCGCTAATCACACTCTCATCACCTCTTTATAAATATTTTAACTACACTTATTTCGGACATTATTTTCTAGCAAGCAATGTCTGTTGAATAAACAGTTTTTCTCGTCTAACACTAAGATATGTCAATAATTATTTAAAGATAAGTAGATTATTAATATTGAAGAAACACTGCTTTATTAAATTTAGCTGGGTTTTTTCTAAACAAATGTGCTTATAAATTTTAATCAGTCTCGCTACCTTCTATAAAACATATATTACGTTTAATTACCTGTTTAGCCCCATACGCGTCGTATCTAGAGTACCAGTGCATGTACCGTCCATTCACGTGGGTCTCAGGCTTAAAGACATGGAACCGAGACCGGCCCAGTACGTCATGGGTGTTGCCAGTCCGGACGCCCAGCTTCCACATACAGAATCCCATCTCCACGTCTTCACTGCCGTGGTCCTTGGAGCAGTTCACCTTCTCCGCCCCTTCCCCGAATCTTCTCAGCGCCTCTTTACTCAACACATAACCAGCACCGCCGCTACAGTTTAGAAGAAGAATTATTTTTTTCTTTAACTGTCCCAAACAAAATATACACCATTATAGCGACTCCCTATAAACAGCGAACGATTTATATTAAAAATGAAATTTTAATTTTAAAATCAGAAGTCACAAATATGAGTTGCGTATTTTATTGAATATTCATTCTATCTTACCCGTAGTTTCAATTGCATTTAACTTAATCAACTGCACATTGTTGTTTTTTTTCGTTTCCAACTGACTTGTGGATTTTGTTTTTGTTGAGATGATAACTGTATAGTTAACTGGTATCTCTTCCGATTACCTGATGGTTTACTTAGACAATACACTTACCTGTAGGTTAACCTATGTTATCCACGGACCTTTAGGTTAACTTCGGCTACTCACGTACCTGTAATAGCCCTGCACGACATGTGTTGTGAACAGCTGACCAAAATAAACGGGCTCGCTGGAATTTTCCCCAGAAAGAAAGTACCTCAGATTTTCTATGATCACATACGTATCATCATCCGCCTGGAAATAGAAACAATATGTTGTCGAGACAGGAAGTTCGGTATGTAGTGTTGTACAAAACAAAATCAGTAAGTTGTACAAGTAGAGTTTGTACGGCACATTGTACAATTAACTATACAAAGAAAATAAGTGTGAACATAGAAAGGCGACACAAAGTCGTAGAATTGATTTTACAGGTTTTTTCCCAAAGCATTTAAAACGTGGGCACATGGTAGTTAAATAATGTTTTATCAGTTAAAATTGTATATAATGCACACATAAATTGTCAAAAATATATAATATAACCTAATCCGTTAAGTGGTCGCAGTAAATAATGTAATAAGGTATTTGCTAATTTTACCCCACCCTCGACCACGCATCGTCACAAAAAGCCAGAGCCCATTAAATTGTTAAATTGTTGCATAAACTCCTCTCCCCTGTGCGATATTTTAATATATCAAAGATCTTAAATGAGCTAGATCAATTTCTACTACAATTTATTTTTAAAACAAGTAGGCCTAAACTGCAAAATCCACCTATGCCAAAATTACTTCGTAAAATGCAATAGTCGGACGTGTATATGGATTAGCGCTTTTTCAACCTGCTTAGATATATTGAGAGATCAAACAACCCTTCACCCTATTTTCAACAGGCTTTTACTCATTCCGGAACACAAGATAAAATAAGTGCTAATTTAAACTAAAAAATATCTCAAGAAAACAAAAATGAGTTCTGAATGTTATATACCTTCATGAACCAATCGGCGTCATTGAAATGGTTCTCATAAATGTATCTAAAAGCTTTCATCGTCTTTGCTGTCAGATGGCTTCTACCCTCTGATACGTTCAGTCCAATGGCTGGGAATGTATCGTTGTCAACTGAACTGTGAAAAAGTATAGTATAACATTATTGGTCCTAGTTCTACATTTTGGTACGAATAGAAGATTAAATCCACTTTTTCAACAAAAGCAGAGTTTAAATAATAGACCATTAACCCCAAGCTTTAAACCATTTATAGAACGTTGTTGTATACAGTGTTTCTTCCAGAATTTTTTCTCCGTGGGTACACTTGAAATTTTCGGGGGGGGGGGGGGGCGGACAACAATTTCCTAGGGAGCGGACACTGTCAAAAGTATATATTTCCTATATAAATTCCATTTCGTTTGGGGGGGGGGGGCGGTAGACTTTCTTCGAAGAGATGCCTGTTGTATATACGAAGTCTATCGACTATTTGTTATACTCATGTTATCGTCCCGTTTGTTTTAAAACTTTTCCTTACCCAGCGTTCTAATCCCTTTGTAATTTAATCACACACATGTTTAACTCATGTTTGTATAAGTTATTTTTTTTGTTTCAAGATAATAACCTGAAGATGGTTTTATTCTGATGATAGATAATTCACGACAGCGTCAATGTTGTTATAATTACTACATGACCTATATTGATTTAACCTCTTTCGCCGACTCGCAAACCAGCCGCGGTCAAGTCGATAGGACTATAATTTATTGAAAGAAAGCTTCAGTGTCTTAATATTTAACTGCAGTAACGGTGGGGGCTAGAGTGGGATTATAGCTTATCTCAGTAAACAGGTACAGGGTGTTCGTGATTTGACGTAGGTTGTTAAAACAATACTTTAGTCTTTTCTAGCTGCACTTCATGCCCTGTGTATCAATGTCCTCTGTATCGATGTCCTGTGTATCGATGTCCTCTGTATCAATGTCCTCTGTATCGATGTCATCTGTATCAATGTCCTCTGTATCGATGTCATCTGTATCGATGTCCTGTGTATCAATGTCCTCTGTATCAATGTCCTCTGTATCGATGTCCTGTGTATCGATGTCCTCTGTATCAATGTCCTCTGTATCAATGTCCTCTGTATCGATGTCCTGTGTATCGATGTCCTCTGTATCAATGTCCTATGTATCGATGTCCTGTGTATCAATGTCATCTGTATCAATGTCCTCTGTATCAATGTCCTCTGTATCAATGTCCTCTGTATCGATGTCCTCTGTATCAATGTCCTCTGTATCGATGTCATCTGTATCAATGTCCTCTGTATCAATGTCCTCTGTATCGATGTCCTGTGTATCGATGTCCTCTGTATCAATGTCCTATGTATCGATGTCCTGTGTATCAATGTCATCTGTATCAACGTCCTCTGTATCAATGTCCTCTGTATCAATGTCCTCTGTATCAATGTCCTCTGTATCAATGTCCTCTGTATCAATGTCCTCTGTATCAATGTCCTCTGTATCAATGTCCTCTGTATCAATGTCCTCTGTATCGATGTCCTGTGTACCAAGACCTATTTAACAGTTTCCTTCCCGTTTATCAATGACGTATATATCAGTGTCGTGTTGATATCCGATCAATATAGGGGTTCTTTATGGGAAACTATCGATATTCTGTTACAACATTCTAACTATTATAAGTAAAGTAGTTAGTAAAGTTTGCCTTTCAAACCTGACGGACTATGGGGCAAGTGAAGTAGAGTTCACTTGTTTCTGTGACCTCGGCGTATGAAGAGATAGTTTGGTCAGCTCTATGCCCAGCCGCCTTTACTTTACATAACGTGAGTCAGGTATCCATCAGAGTTGGGGGGACTCAGGGATGGTCTACTGACTTGAACCCGGATTCGAACTCGAGACTTACGGGTTAGCAGTCCAGCTAAACCACTCCGTCCCTAACTATTATACATGTATTAAATATGTCAGATGCCGAAATGTCCAATAATATTACTCGAATCGGTGATCTAAATTAATTTAAAATAAACGAATTTTAAAAAGAAATGTATTCTATAGCTAAGTAGGTCTACTTGAGTTGCAGTTATTTTTAGCAAATAAGTTGAATTGTCTAATATTGTTATACGTGTGCTACTTTTAGAAGAAAATAAACAAGAAAATGTAGGTGTATTTTTTCTACTGTTTTGTAACAAGTGATTTAGTAAAATGAATTATAATGTTGCAGCTGTTAAAATTCGTGACCGAGCTAAATTAGTTACAGTTGATATAGCCTTCTAGGAAAATAGAGCTTAGCAAAAAAGTATTCTATTGATATGTATTGTTAGAGCTGTTAAATTGGCTACTATAAATTTGTTCTATGAGTAAACCTTGATACAGGTGCTAAAAATGTTACAGATGTAACATTTGTTACATGCGTAAAACTTGTGACAGGTGTTAAATTTGTTACTGGTGTTAAAGTTTTGCAGATGTAAAACTTGTTACGGGTGTAAAACTTGTTACATAAGTTAAATTTGTTACATGTGTTTCATTTGTTGCAGATGTAAAACTTGTTATGGGTGTAAAACTTGTTACATGTGTTCTATTAGTTACATGTGTTTCATTTGTTGCAATTGATACGTCTGTTACATCTGTTACCGATGTAAAACTTGTTAAGAGTGTAAATTTGTTAAATTTGTTGCAGGTGTTACGATTGTTACAGTTGATTTACCTGAAAAATAGAACCAACTCACAGTGGCTCGCCCAGGTTTCTTTAACCGCTTTGGCCTTGACATTCAGATTTGTTGGTGACGTCATCACCCAGATCAGAATCCTTACATTTTTAGCGAGCTTGCGAGATACGGAGTCATCATCTAATTGAAAATATTCCGTGCATATATCAATTGTATGCGGTCACCAGTATAACATTTACAACGTTGAAGATTTAGACGAAACATGTGGTCTAAATAGGTTTAATTTCAATCAATGTTTCCCTATACGAAATCGAATTTTACTACTTTTATGAGCTAATTGCAGTGAGGGGGAAAAACTAAAAAATTGAACGCATAATTTTGTTAAAAAACCAAGTGCTGAGCTTCGCGAACTAAGACTTACATTTTTCTTAAACAAAATAGTTGCAAAATAGTTCTCATTTGTTTTTTTAAAAACAACAATTTTCCAAAACCGTAATAAATAAATCATTCAAAGCTAGACAGTGTGTGATTTTATGACTTCATAGCGTTCACTTTCTCCCCACTGTTGATGCTAGGTATTCATTAAAACTGAACAGATCTGTGGAGGTTGTTTTTATTTTAATTTTGTTATAAACTTTTAATTTTATATGATACACTCATATAACATCATATAATTTTCCATAAATCATGTAAACAGTTGAAATCTACTTCATCCGATTTATTAATCATAAATATTGTATTTTAAAAGATAATATAATTATTAGCTGATATTCTTATTATTAAAGGAGGTATTTTCAATCTAAAAGATGGTATAAAAGTTGGTTTTATCATACAAAGAGGTTTTATAACGTATACTATGACTAGATGCAGATGTTGGCGTACATTGAGGACTTAAATATTTTTTTCCTTCCTCTATCCCACTCACAATATAATAAAATATAAGCACATATTTTATACGTCATTCAATGCTAATATGATAAACTATCAACACTTCATTTCATTCTATACTAAATCAACATGATTTTCTGTTTAAAATGCACTCACCTTTATGTTGTGATTTATCATCCTCAATGTTTATACTGGGTATATAGTTGTCAAAACTTGATGGAATTTCTGTAGGAAAATATGAGACCAATTCTCTTTTTGTGTAGATCGATGTGGCGATTGGGAAAACAAGTTTTGAATACGTCGTTACATACACGGCCAGAGTTAGGCCGATGGAGAGGCCGAATAGAAAAGGCCATAACTTTGATTTTAACACCATTGCAATGAAAACAGTTTAAAGTCACAAGTGCTGAGATTTAGTACAAAATGCTGTTCAGATTTCCTCTAATATCAATACAGACAAAAGGTTTTTTTGGGTCCTAAGTGTTTGAATTACACTAAAATAACATACACGAAAACGTATTGTGGAATTTCAAGTTCTGCGCACTATCCAGGCTCCGCGTTACTAGTAAAACATCAAACAATAGCAGCTTGCCATGGTTAATCACTACACAACTTCATCAGCGATGTTTAGAATTCAGACAAGTTTTAGAGCTTCACGCTGATAGAGCAGCTCCTCAGTGTGAGCAGCTGATTATTTTCAATGAACTGAACATACATCTATTTATTTCAATCAATGGAAGAATTTTTTATTCAATAAAGTAGATACGTACACAACCAGATGGTGTAGAGATTACATGAAAACGTTATCAGGACTTCCTGTCGTCGTGGAGATAAAAGAAACTTAATTGTTTACATTGGAGGTGAATGCTAGGTCTGTTGCACTCGTCTTTTGAGGTCTTTCAAATTTGTTTAAAAATTTCGGGATTTTCTTGCATTAAGTGAGATTAGTTGAACTTGTATGCCTATTTAAATTTCTTTCTTTAGAGTACAGTCATTTTAATTCATAAAGAAAACGAACTTCTTTGAAATTTTCAAATAACATTCTACGAATATTAACCCTACGAGTACGTTAATTAACCTATTTATGTTAAAAAGTATTATCAGTATTTCTAATAATTATTCACAAGATAAGATTGATTTTATTTATGAATAAAATCCTACATTCCTGGACAGGAATTTTATTTTAATTTCCGTTTAGAATTTAGAATAAGCAAGTTATTTCCATAATATTAAAAACGTTTTTCAACCAAATTGAGTTTTCAATACTAAAACCAATGGCTAGCAAAGTGTATAGCATAGGCTATATTTAAAACTAAACTAAAAAATCAAATTTTTCCTAATCTTTTAATCTGAGTCATTATATCATTTTTCATTTATCATTCTTTTCAACTGTGATATCAACATATTAGTAGTGTTTATTCCATAAGTTACGACCATGTCTTTAAAATTTTATTTAAATGTCTTTGATATTTGTTTTTCTTTAATAACGGCCTATGTGTAAAAAAAGGCCATTGTTTATATTTCTTCATGTTTTCAATTCGATATTTTGAATTGGAGATAATAGAGACCGTTTTATCTTAATCTCCATGGCAAATCCTTACGTGATTTGATTTAGACAAAATCAATGTCACAAGTCTACCTGAACTTAGCCGTGCATAAAACAAATATATCTATATTTTTTTTATTTTTTTTTAAATACAAGCAAAAGTTTAAACCATGAATAAATTGAGGTGATAACATTTTATTGTAGCAGGCTCAACATTACAAAATAAATGTTTGATTAAATAGAATTTTTAAATTTTTAACAAAGTATCAGCAGCCACATCATGCCGCTATCTAAGAAAATTTCTTTTGGAAAAAAATGAATGCAACAAAAAATTATAGGAGGAATTTTTAACCATTCAACTTATATAACAACATATATTTCATCAATATTTCTTGCATAAATAACTACATTTTAAATTCAATGTTCAAATACAAAACAGATCCTTAATTTAATTTATTTTATTTTTTAAAACAATAGACAAAAATATCTCATTCTTTATTTCAAAGAATATTAATGGCTGATGTATTTTTTTACCAAGTCTAAATGTTATTTGATGTATAAATATATTGGTGTTGTTTATTTATTACATCAAATTCACACCAGAAATATGGACTGTTACTTACACAACAAACGGGAAACAACAAAAAATAAACCACCCAGAACTGATTCAACAGAAAGAATATTATTGGAGAAAGAAATACTATTTTACAGGAATTTTTAATCCCAGTTTATATTACAGGAAGTTGTATTAAAATTAAGCATTTTTCTTTACCAAAAGAAAATACTTTTATTCCCTCCTTAAGTATGCAAAAATACTTTTATAGAAGAAAAAATACTTTCATTCCTTCAGTCATCAAATCACTTCCAATCACTTTTATACAGAAAGAAAATGTTTTCATTTACACTTACATCACATAAAAACACATTTTCTTATCACAGCAAGAAGACTAATTAAAACTTACTTTCGTAACTAAAAAAATGCAATCACTGCAATGCATCAAAATTATATCATCAACTATTTATACAAAGTGATCTGTTCAAAATGAGAAATGGAAATGTCAAATCCACATGATATGATTTTTTTAACAGTGAAGACATACAATTTTAAATATCATTCAACCTCTTGAAAAAAACAAGCACACAATAATCAAATTACTTAGATATTAATGGAACTTTCAACAACCAACAAAAACATATTTAGATCTTCAGAAAAGTGCCTAGAACAAAACGTATTTTCTGTATTCAAACTTCCGATTTCTTTAAGTTTAAATGCCTGTTTTAAATATTACAATTAGTTAACTTTATTTTGACTAGTTATTTTCCCTTTGGAACAATCTGCCCTTGTTTCTTGGAGTCGCAGGTTATCACACTGTTGGATATATATAGGATTTTTAAAGAAATAGAATAAAATTCTATTTTGACAGGAGCTAACTTATAAATCTCAACATTTTTATAAAATTGGGTTAAACAAAATAACCATAAAGACATTATTATCTACTTAAACGTTTCTGTTGGTTTAAATCCTGTTCTCCCGAGTTAATTCCATAAGGCCTCAGATGATAGATGTAAAACTCTAAAGACAACATTTTTTCTGGTGGAACATAATGAAAGCTGATGGCGTAATCACTGATGCTTTCTCTTCCCTGGGGATGTAAGAAAACAGAGTAGAATTATTCTATTACAGCATTACATGTAATAAAGGTTACAAACAGCAGCTGTGCAACTATCATGTCTATATGTTCATTAAAATATGGAAGTATGAATTCAATTGTTTTTTAATTCTGAGAAAACGCTATTACTACAAGCTGGTACCCCGGGGACTTTACTCTGTATAATAAATAAACTCGGAAAATTATATCTTATAAATATGAATGTCATACATGATTAACTCTTCTTACCTGCCCCATGGACCATAAAGTTTGAAATGGTTATTTAACGTTAATTTTACTTTCATTTCTAGGAATATTTGTATATTAATTCACAGCCTATATTTAAATAATAGTACTTTAAATAACATAAACATTTCTATATACTGACTTACGGCATTCAGTAAACATACTAACTTAGTCCACTCAAGAAATATACTGACCTTCTTAGCACCATTGGCATCATATCGATAATACCATTCTTTATAACCACCAAATAAATGAGTCTCTGGATCAAAACAGTGAAATCTACTGCGGCCTAGAATGTCTGTACTGTTTGCTGTGCGCACCCCTAAATTCTGCATGCAGTGGCCCAGTTCAACATCTTCTGCCCCTCCATCTTGACGACACACCTTGGTATTATTGCCTTGCTCTCCCAGCCTTTTTAAAGCTTCCTTGCTCAACACATAGCCAGCACCACCACTGGGGAAGAAATTGTTTTTATGTATTAATGTATAATATGGGGAAGAAATTGTTTTAATATACTAATGTATAACATGTGAAAGAAATGGTTTTAATATACTAATGTATAACATGTGGAAGAAATTGTTTTAACCCATATTATCCCAAGGTCTCAAATTTTTATAATTTTATGATATGGTTTAGCTTTTGGTGCACTGAATGAAGGAATGACTATAGATTTTTTTTTTTAAATCAATACTTTTTTTTAAATATCGATTTTTAAAAAAACGTCCAGTAAATGGGACGCTAGCAACGAACGGCCCCATGTACATTTATTGAAAAATAAAATCATTTATCACGAAATATGGCTAATCACGCGAAAATTAAGCTGTATACTGATTTTGTATTGTTAGACCAATGATTACATTGTTTAAAACAGCTAAAAATACTGATACTGTTCAATTTGGTTAGCCATATTATGGTCTGAAATGCAGAAATTATGTTCAAAAGTCTAGTTTTCTTTCAATCTACTATCCATCAAAGTGAATAACACTTGGAAATAAGTAAAGCTGTGACTAGTACATCTAATTATACCAGAGGCGTAGCGACCCTTCCCGGCTCCCGGGGACATACTTTCAATTTGGCGCCCCCTCGGGAGCAAATTTTCGATTTGCACCCCCCCCCCCCCCCTCGAACTTTTCATTTGCATCCCCCCCCTCAAACTTTCGATTTGCACCCCCCCCCCTCGAACTTTTCATTTGCACCCCCTCTCAAACTTTCGATTTGCACCCCCTCCTCGAACTTTTCATTTGCACCCCCCTCAAACTTTCAATTTGGCGCCCCCCCTAAGGTCGGCGCCCGGGGACATATGTCCCCCCCCCCCGTCCCCCCTCGCTACGCTACTGAATTGTACACAAATGATCACAAATGTTGTTATTATTCATCGTAACTGTAATATAATTAGATATAAATAATTGATTTTTGGAGGGGGGGGGGGGCCTTTTTGAAATTTTCAGGGGGGGGGGACTTAAATTTCAGGGGGAGGGTGGACACTGGTAAAAGTATGTTTTGTATATAAATTCCATTTTGTTCTGGGGGCAGAGCCCCCCCCCCTTCTCCTCCGAAATAATGCCTGAAAGAAACTCTGCCCTCAATGAATTTGCAAAAGACGATCCGGTCCAGTCTCAGATGTCATCCAGCCATCTTCTCTTTTGTTACCCTCGGTATTCCCCCCCCCCCCTCTCACAGGCGAACATTAGGACATCAGACATCTTATTTCTAAAGCACGGATCCGTCTTTGGGGGCCTGTATTGAGTGTTTATGGCTCTTATATATGTATGCACCTCACTATTCGAACAGCTCCCAATCTAGCACCAGGAATCCCATTACAAAGCCTCGTTAAGGTTAATAAAGTAAAACTGGTATCGGGAACCTTTGGAGGGAATATTATCGGGGCATGACACTAGTACACAGCTAATTCACTGTTCTGCTATATGTAGCTTGAGCTCTCTTATATGAAGAGAGTTAACCAACCCCCATGACTGATTTCACCTAAATCGTTACCATTGTTAGATTTTGGTTTGTTATAATTTTAATATCACGCGCTAGTAAATTTACAGCAGTATTAAATTAGATTGTATTCAATGGTATTAAATACTTCAGTAAGTGTAATTCTGAAAACTTAAAAATAAAATGTACGTTTTTCAATATTTTGACTTTTTTTATACAATAATATATAAGTATGTATAGGTCAAAGTCATAATTAAATATCTATAAGTACTACTAACAACCACAAAGTCAA